TGCTCTCCTGTCACAGCCTCATAGCTAAGTAATTTCTAAGCCAATGATCGGGGGCAGTGGGAGCAGTGAGTGAGGTATAAGAGAAACATTGGCAGAATTCTGAACATTTCCCTATAGGATTACAAATTGGGAAAACAAGAAACACAGATATATGTGCTCATGATGCATCTAAAACAAAATTCAAGAATTTAAAAATAGTAATCCTCTTTACAAAAACATATACCCCAAAGTTGTACACTCTACACCTAGCACAGGACCTGACATTTATCAATGTTAAGCACATGTATGTTTGTGAATCATACTATCAAGATACATTTGAAATCCCTTCTGTTAATGGGGTGAAAGTAATAAATACATCTAACAAAGGTTTTCAAATAATTAAGGATTATTTTATATTCTATTATAGCTGATTATTTCTGAACAATAGAATTTTTCAATCTTCAGCAGAAGTTACATAGTATCAGCAATAATAATCTGACCACTCTCAGCAAGTTCTCTATCTGCTCAGCAATGTGTTCACAATGATAGATGAATAAGTAGAAAGGATTAAGGTTTACCTCTAGACTTAACTTATACACAGACCCAAACATCCACTTTGAACAGACAACTTAAGCCTTCTAGTGACCAAAGATTGTTATCAAAACAGCCCCACAAAGATACCAAAATTAACTGCAATTTTTTAAAACCTGGGGAAAAAAGCAATTGATAGCCACTATTTACTGGGGATATATGGAAACGGTCATGCATCACTTAACTATGGGGACAAGGTCAGAGAAATGCATAGTTAGGCAATTTTGCCACTGTGCAAACATCAGAGTGTGCTTACAACAATTAAGATGGCTGTCACTAAGTGATATAATCATATGGGAACATCATAATGGTGTCACTGTTGGCCAAACTGTGATTATGTGACACATTACTGTATATGGGTACTTAAATATCCATTCTCCCCTCTTCCCTATCAATTTTACTTATTTTATCAATATGACCAAGTGAAAAATTAATTCCGCAGTCTCTTTTGCAGTTAGGCATGACCATGTGACTAAGTTCCAGCCAAGAAGATATAAGCAGAATTGGCATGTGTGGCATCCAAAAAGCCTCCCTGAGGGAAGAGAATACATCATTTGCCCTCTTTGTCCTTTCTGCTGAATGAATGAGAATAAACTTGAACTGCCATATTGGATCATGAGGTGATATGCAAGAATAGCAAGAAATGAGTCCTAACAACTTGAGCCATACTCTTAGCCCTGGACTAGCCTTTTCTGTTGCTTCTTTGACATGAGAAATAACTTCTGTCTTCTTTAAACTATTATTTTCATTTTCCTGTCACATGTAACCAAACCTAATTCTGATTGAAACAAACGAAACAAAAACCAATCTGCTGTATGCAAGACCCTGTAGGGAATGCAAAGGTACTCAGAATTTTTTTTTTTTTTATTTTTTTTTAGAGAGAGAGAGAGAGGAGTGAGAGGGATTTTTTTTTAATATTTATTTTTTAGTTTTCAGCAGGCACAACATCTTTGTTTGTATGTGGTGTTGAGGATCGAACCTGGGCCGCACGCATGCCAGGCGAGCGAGCTACCGCTTGAGCCATATCCCCAGCCCCTTGAGCCATATCCCCAGCCCAGGTACTCAGAATTTTGACACACAAAGAGTTGGTCAAGAAGAGGAGTTATGGAAGAAAATATGAAATAAGTTTGAATTGCCAGGCACATCCGGCTGAATTTCTGATGATGATGATGAACACAGTAGAAACTTGCTCCCATGTGCACATAAAGAAACCCAGAGGTTACAGGACTTGTTCAAGGTCACCCAGCCAGGCAGTCTAAGAGTGAACCTTAGTTCCCCTGACACTGCCTTTGAGAGAATCTAGAGCTGAAATAGGAATCAAGTTTTTATAAGGAACTCTTGTTATGCAGCACATAACCATAATTTAAATAATAGTTCACTTCATCTACTGTGCAGAAAAGCAAAAAAAGTGTATCTTTTAACTGACAGATATATTTTAGTGGAGAGCTCTACTTATAGTTACCCTTTCTAAAACAAATCACACTTAGTTTGATGAATATCATATAACCTTTAGAAAACTTGCTATTAAGATCCTTAAAAAAGTTTAAAGTTTAACACATACAGTGTTAGTTTTTTTCAGATTATTAAAGAGAGTATAAGCTTTTTATACTGTATTACCATCATCTATCCCTCTTTTTTTTCACTATAGTACTAGCACTGCTATTTATATTGGAGCAATAGTTTCAAAAGTTCTGAGGATGACTCAACCAACAATTTCTGAAAATGCTAATCATTATGCTACTAGTACGGGAGAAAAGAAAGAAAGCAGAGGGCCTTGAGTTTAAGGTGCTCAAGATGAGGTTGCACAAGCCTCTTAGTTTAGTGTTATTAAAAGGGGAATTTACAGATGACCATGAGGATTCTTTAATCTAAAAGAAAAATGTAAGTATATCCAGGCATCTGAATTGACATTCTATTCATATCTAAGTACTGTCAGGACTTGTTATCAGAATTTTCATCTGACAGGGGTTCAGCAGACTTTCCAACTGTCCAGGATATCAACTAAAAAATGGAGCTGAATTCAAAATGTAAATTTATCTGTGACTCTAGAGTTAAATGACCTCAGATCTTACTCTTTCTTTCTATATATATATATATATAGAGAGAGAGAGAGAGAGAGAGAAAGAGAGAGAGATTTTAGTTGTAGTTGGACACAATACCTTTATTTTACTTAAAAGTGGTGCAGAGGATAGAACCCAGAGCCTCATACTTGCTAGGCAAGCGCTACACTGCTGAGCCACAACCCCAGCCCTCAGATCTTACTCTTAGAGAACTGAGTTCACCATGTAGCCAGGGGATAGTGAACTTGCCATCCTCAAAAAGTCCCTGCACCTTAATAATTGCTACCATATACTCAATATATTGGACATTTAGTTTCAGAAAACACCAGCCACACAGAACTTATAATTTAGACTGATTTTGTTTGGCGAAAAGTTAAAAGCTAGTAATTTATAATTTCTTTGCCTGCAGATATTCATTGATATCCCAATTAAAAAAATGGAGTCTATCTGATGTTATTTTTCTTAACCTTGGTACCATACTACTACTCAAAGTAAGAAATTGTTGAGTTGCTATTAATCTATGCAGAGTCCAGCTCTTTATTTTTTTCTGAGGTTAATAGGCTAATCTATCATAGAATCATAAAAAGTATTTTTAGCTGAATACTTTGGCTTTAATTGAAAGGTCAACTGGGTACACAAACAATAACCCAATTTTTTAGGTCATCTAACTGTTCTTCCAAAGAGAAGAAACAGGTGATTTGGCTCACAGAAACACAGAAGTGACTTTGCACATTTTCTTCCTGTTTAGGGATAGTATCTATGCCACAGGCACTTAACATCTACAGCCAATCTTCAAGAAGGGACATTGTATTCCCAATAGACTCTGGGTGGTATTAATGACAGCAGCTAAAAATCAAAGGATCTGAAATAAATGTTTAATGTAGACGATCGTTAAGACAAAACATTCATGCTATCCTTAATATTGTTAGAAGATATATGAAGCTGTTCAGATTAAAAACATTTACACTCCAGAAATCAATTCCACAGAGTCAGGCAACTAACAGAGCTCATCAAAGAAAATTACCTAGAATACTACTGTGTACCAGAAGTCAAAACTGAGTTTGATTACAGTATTTAAGATGTCACTACAGACATTGGTTTGTTATTTTGAATTTATTTTCCGAGTTCCTAAATCCCAATTAATAATGAACACAATAATATCTTATAATAAATAAGCCATATTTAAAATTAGTTAAGTCTGTAACCCTTAACCTATACATATTCAAAAGTCCGTCCTTTTTTTCCAGAGTGTGAAAAATATCCTATAATTTTCACTGAAATATTCCAAAATAATGTAATTTGTCCTATTATTTCTGCTATTGATGTCTTCTTACTTTTCTTCAATTACTTACAGTTAACATAATTAACACAATTATCCAATTCAGGAAAAATCAACATAGTCCAGAACATATGGAATCAAATTGGTTCAAAATAATTTCTAAGCTGATCAGGGACATGGATGAAACATTAAGCATAAACCCTTGCAAAGGCCAAGGGTTTATTCTACCCAAATCCTATTTAAGGAAATAATTTGATTTTTTATCAAAAATAGTTTGGTAACTCTCCATGAACAATTCAGGAAACAAGATACCATGGAACTTCTCATTTCTTAGCCATATATACGAAGGAAGGCTGGACTATACAAATATTGTGATGGAAGGGGCAAGTATTAATCCAGATAAATAAAGATTAGATCGGAAAGATACTAAAAATTAGTTTACAACTAAAATATGGAATCAGGAGACAAAAAAAAAGTAGTTTACAAAATATTCTTGTGATTTCATTTAAAACTAACTTAACAAAACTTTTAAAGCTCCAATCTTTGGAGTTTTGGTCGCGCACCATTCACAGCCCCTACTGGCTAACGTTTTTGAGCTACATACTATGTGTGTCTCCTTATTTTTGGCCTCACAACAAGCGTAGGAAACAAGAACTATGAATGTGACTTTACAGATGAAGAAAATGAAGGGCAAAGAGTTTAGGAGCTGACTCTGGTCACCGGATCACAAGGGTTGGACTTGAAACCCCAGTGCAAGTCTACACCCCGGCCCAAACCACCTCAGCCGCCTCTGGAGTTGCCCGCACTTTTACCACAGCTAGTGGATGCTTCGGCGGGAAAAGGAAACTTCCTAAGCAAAGTGAAGCTCGCAGGAAAACTCAGGTTCCAACTATTAAGCACCGAGTCCTGGGCCCTCCGTGTTTTTAAAATAATGAAAACGGACACATCGAGTGTTTCAACGCCCAGCCCGCTGGCGCCCATCCAGGTCGGGAAGCCGGTCCTGGGTGTGGAGCCTGGCAGCCGAGGGCCGGGCTCCGGGCGCGCCCTCCGCACGCGGCTACCTAGGCCCGCAGCGCCTAGAGGGCACTTACTTTCTGCTCCTCCGCCGAGGCCGCCTCCGGGACTTCCGCGGACATAGCGTTCCCTCTGCAGACAAGACGCCGGGAAAAGATGCGATTACCGGGTGGCCGAGGCCGCCCGGCTACCGCCGCCGCCGCCGCAGGCCTGCCCGCCTCCCACCCTGTTCTCCCGGTGCCCGCCCGGGCCGTCGCCCGCCCGCCACGGTTCCCGCCGCCTTGTGACAACACGAGCCTCGAGCGTCCGGCCGGCGGCCGTCCCCGCCCGCCGCGGCCCTCCCTCCCTCTCCTCCCGCACCGCGCCCTACCTGCCCAGCCGCTCTCCTACGGCTCCGCGACGACCGAACACTTCCTCTTTCCTTCAAAGGTCGCGGCTGGCGCCCTACCTCACATCCGTTGGAGGCTGCCGGATGCTTCCTGGGAATTGTAGTCTGTAAGTGGAGCCCTGCCTCCCCGCCCTTTGCTGACTACTCTGAGCCGCCTGGTTCCCGCAACCTTCCTGTTTCCACCTTCCACCCTCCCGGTCTCCTCCACGCTGTCTGCTCAGGAGCCACACGTGGGCACCACACAGCTGTGCTTCTCCTTCACTCCGCTCGTCCTTCAAACCTCCAGTCCTGGGTCCCTGCTTCAGAACCCTTCCTCTTGATCCCGCACACTAGGTCGGATCCACCCACTAAATTAGGCTATCCCAAGTCTGGAAAGTAACTCCAGTAACACCTTTCCTGTTCAAATAAGCCACACCAAGGTAGGGATCTTGTCTGTATTTCATTTGGGACCCTCTGAGACCTCAACATTTTCTATTCAATAAATAACGTTTGTTCACTCCCACAACTTTAATGAAAATACCGGCATCCAATTCCCCTAATTTTCTTAACAGCCAAATGCCATAGCTTTATATCTTTCTACTTGACATCTGAATAGCTGCTGTCAGTACACGGTGGTCCCTCAGAAACTTGGAGACAAGACTGCACTCTGAGAGTTAGTAGTAAAAAGATAAAGATGATGAAATGTGGGTGAGCAATCAAAACACTGTGTGGCTGGATGAGGAATTTGGAAACCGTCAAAATTCAACCTGGAAAAATTCTACTGGGATCGCAACTTGAAAAAACAAAAAGTAGCATTACATTCCTTTTGGAGAATAAAAGGATTCCAGAGGCTACTCTTTGACAAAGATATCCCTTAATGTTTCAAGCTGGGTCAGCTGAGAAACTCCATAAGATTAACTACATATGTTATCCTGCCACATAAAGTAATCTACTGAAAATTTGCCTTTAAGCAAAACTACGAAGAGAAAGGTGAAAGCACTTGTTAGACTAAGTGGAGCACCTAACAGTAGTATTGCTATTAATAAATACTGACATTCTTAAATATATATCTGTATATTCTATATTTGTGATCTTTAGTTAAAATCTGACGGCCAACACACATACAGAAAATTGGTATATGTGACCATGGAGAATCTGCTTCTGAAAGATAGTGACACTTGCATGAAGACAGTTTGAATTTCTGGGGGATGGACTTTGGTCAAAGAAGAATTCACCAAGTATAATACTTTATTGGGGGACTTGTCTGGGAAGCCATCTTTCACAATTAACACTACTCTGCATCATCATGAATCATGTGTCTCCATGTTTAAAACTGTGCTGATCCCCAATACTCTTTTTAAAGCTCTCTTCTCTTCACCCCTAGCAGATGATTCTCTCATGGTTTCTCTGTCTCTCTCTTCTCTCTTTAACCATTCCTTCATAGTCTCGTTTGTTGAATCTTTACCTGCTTTTTAATAAGCAGATTCTAATAGTTCTGTCTTTGGATCTAGTGCTGCACTTTCTGGAAGATCACCTCCCACTTTGTATCTTCAGCTATCACCTGTATATTCTAGATTAAGGCTAATAGCACTTTCTGTGATGATGGAAATACTCTGTGCTAAGTAAAATAGTAGCCACTAGCCATAATATTACTTTTGAGCATTTGAAATGTAATTAGTACAACTAAGGAACTGAATGTCTAATTTAAAATAATTAGCCACAACAATTTTTTGAATCCTACTTGACAGAGTTGCAATGGTAAGCTCCAGCAACCAATGCCTAACTAAAGCTCCCTCTGGTGATTTTGATGCATATGTGCAGAAAATATGTTCTTGGCTTGGTATTTGGTGGGTATATAAAAACTTTTAAAAGATCAGGGATATTTTTGAAGGTTAGTTGCTATAGCAGAACTGTATGTTCTGAAAACTCTCAATGGCATTTGCATGCCTTCTGGCAGTATACTAAGTTGAATAGCCTATGAGTTGCTACAGGAAATTTCTTCCTAAAGTTTTTTGTTTTAAATATAATTTTTTAGTTGCAGATGGACACAATACCTTTATTTTATTCATTTATTTTTATGTGGTGCTGAGGATTGAACTCAGTGCCTCAAACGTGCTAGGTAAGCTTTCTACCACTGAGCTACAACCACAGCCCATTGTTGTTGTTTTATAAATCAAGATTATTTTTCATTTTCCCCATGATTAGTATGCATTGCCTTATGCATAGCTAATTATAAACTGTATTTCTAAGAATACTGCTGAAAAGTGTATTTCTTGTGGAAAAACAATAGAAAAAGGGCAAAATGCCAGCATAATATAGTGAAAGAGATGCAAGCTTCAACCTACATTTGAATTCTGGCTCTTCTACAAACCATCAGTGGAATGTTGGGCAAGCTATAGAATATCCATTGTCTCTCTGACTTATGGTTTTAAGGATTAAGTGACCTGCAATGCCCAGCACATTACAGGAGTTCATGAATTCTCTTCCTCTTCCCAGTGTCCAAGTTTCAGATATATCCCTCATAGATAATTTATGATGGAATAGAATCACCTGATTTCAATGTCATGTAGGGATCGTCTTAGGCAATGAGACGATGAATTCCTACCATTCTGAAAAGCCAGCTAGACTGATCTGTTCTTGGTTTTGGATGATATAGTGTGTTATATACCAAAATTTCAAGTTATCACCCCTGTGAGGTGGTAGCTACAAGAGCACAAATGAGGGAGGGGACTTTCACACTCATTTTATATACTAATGCAGTGAGAAATTATTAAAACATAAACATGTATTGTAAGGGTAAAAGAAATTGAAGTTAAAAAGACCGGGCATTGTAAATTGCAAGGCCTGAGTTAAAATGTAAAAGACCAGGTATTGTTAAGTTCCTATGCTACATGCAAAACCTGAAATTCCTGTAGCTGTTAAGACAATGCTTGGAACCGCCCAGTAAATATTTCCCCTGAACGCCTGGTTGTTTAATAACTTAAGGGCCCTGTGTGGCCTTGCACGTAGGCATCGCAGGGCCTGGATCAATCAGTTTGAATGTGTACCCTGCTTTAGAACTGACCTATCACCCCCGCCGGACCTGTTCCCGCCAATGAATGAACTAATCATGTTTAGGAGTTGTTGTTTGATTTTCCCGCGGTGTATGATGATTTGTTAAAGGAGACTGTGATGTATGTAAAGTCCCCGCCCTCCCCAAAAAGTGTACTTAAGCATTGCTCAACCCCTGCTCTGGGCTCTGGGCTGCTCTCCTTTCTTGAGTGAGCACGGAGCCCCAGCATGCTGGAATCTCAATAAACCCCTTTTGCTGTTGCATGAGTCGCGGTCCCTTGGTGGTCTCTTCCTCCGACGTTCGACGTTCGCCGGACCCTTACAGTATTACAACTTTTTTACAAAAAAAAATTTTAAAGGAGAACAATTGCTTCATTCACAAAATTAAATAGGAAAGAGTGGTAATTCCAAAGATAAAAGCTTTGAAGGAGAAATTTCCCCCTTTTTAACTCTCTAGGATTAACAGAGATCTGGTGGGAAAAATGTCAGGAGGGGAAATCTTTTGTTGAACATCTTAGTTAATTTCCATTTTTATACTTATGAGTATATTTTTTTTTCATTCTCACAATAGATTTTAGCATTCTGTGAGGATGGCCTTAGGCCTGAGCCTAAGCAATTCCATTTTAAAAACTCCATTGTGAAATCTTCAGTCTCAGCAGTCACACCTAATGGAGCCCTCCAGCATGATCCTCAGACAAGTCACTTTCCCTTACCCTGATAAACTGGGGGAAGCCTCTGGCAGGCTGTCCTTGCCTGATAAGAGGGAAAAGGGAAAAGATCAGGGTGGAGACCACCAGACCAGATGTTTCTGACCCCAGGGTAAATGATGTCATGGAGAAATCCAGTGGTAGCTGATCAGGATTGAAATGGGGATCAAAAGCCCCAAAATTTAGTATAATAGAACTGATGAACAGGGATTCAGTCAGCCGAAATAAGGATGCACTTGATCTGAAGGGCCTGATGAGGACCTGGACTGACATCTCAACTTTTCTCATCTGCCTGATCCTTTGCATCTTCCTCACCGCTCTCAAAACTTTACCACCTGTCTGGACGTTTGTGAGAGTCGAAACTTCTCCCTATGACCCTCTCCTCAAACGGTCATCCAGTTTGTTCAGGACCTGATCACCACCAGCCTGAGTGACTGTGCATCTGTTGGATGTAAAGCCTAAGGCTTGAAACTTTTGATCTGACACTTGAACTTAGCACGCAGAGGGAATGTCTGTCATGAGCCTGTCATGATTGTGTTTGCAGTGCTTAGAATTAATCTAGAATTGTTTGCTGTGAATTAATCTAGAATTGTTTGCTGTGAATTGATTGCCTATTGCAATGCCTAGCATTAAGGATTGTCGTTTTCTTGATTAAGAACCTATAGAGTGAAATTGTATTAATTTGAGTGAGTAAAGCATTGAAAAGGGATGAAGCAGGTGGACATTCATTATTTCTCCCCCTCAACTGCATACCTCGCAGTTTTGCTCCTTGTGATACATTCCCATCTAAGAAAATCCCCCAAAACTTTTGCAGACTACTTGTTACCTATAGTTCCTTTTTGAAAGGAGTTATAACTCATTTTAAAAATCTTCAAAACTGCAAGTAAACCTGCAGTAAGTGGGATCTCTGTTATTTACTGTTGGTAGCAATATTAGTTGCTGCTGGAATCTCTACCTGCATATCACTCTCCTGAGATATAATCTAGTAATATAAATTTTTAATAGAAATACAGAATGTATGAATGTATGGCCTGAGACTAAAGAATTGTAGAAAAATAACCAGGTTGAGAGAACACCAGAGTAGGTGGAGAACAGATAGGGGCTGGGTGACTATACCTCACAGAGGAAAATTATGGGCAAAAAATGGCCCCAAGAAGAAGGTACTCTCATACATTGTCAGTGGGACTGCAAATTGGTACAACCACTCTGGAAAGCAGTATGGAGATGCCTTAGAAAACTTGGAATGGAACCACCATTTGACCAAGCTATCCCACTCCTTGGCATATACCCAAAGAATGGATTTAAAATCAGCATACTATAGTGCAAAGCCACATCAATATCCATAGCAGCTCAATTTACAATAGCTAAGCTAATAGGAACAAACCTAGGTGCCCTTCAACAAATTAGTGGATAAAGAAAATGTGCTACATACACATAGTAGAATATTACTCAGCCATAAAGAAGAACGAAATTATGTCATTTGCCAGCAAATGGATGGAACTGGAGACTATCATGCTAAGTGAAGTAAGCCAATCCCAGAAAACCAAAGGCCAATTCTTTTCTCAGATATGCAAATGCTGACTCACAATAGCTGGGAGGGTGGGGCTGGGGGGTGGGAAGTAGAGGTTCACTGAATTAGCACAAGTGGAAATGGGGGGATGGGAATGGGAAGACAGTAGAATGAATTGGACATAACTTTCCTGTATTCATATATGAATTCATACCAGTATAACTCCACATCATTTACAACCACAAGAACGGGAAGTTATACTCCATGTATGTGTATGTCAAAATACATTCTGTCATGTATGACTAAAAAGAGTTTTTTTTAAAAAATGAGCCCAAGAAGTAAAGGGACAAAATGTCAACACATGCTTCCTTTCTACAAACTTACCAGGAAGAGCATAAGATATGCCCAGATGTTCATCCAATGATATGACTTGGATATTATTTGAGTGTATCCCCCAAGGCTTGATGTGTTGAAATTTAATGCCCTTGCCAGGTAGTATGAAGGTGGAAACTTACTCCAAATATGGTAGAGATGGGGTCTTTGAGAGGTGATTAAGATTAAAGTTATGAGGGTACAGCCCCCACGATTGAATCCCAGTGGCTTTATATGAGTGAGAACAGAAGAGATATATATAAACATGCACACACACACACTCCCTGTGCTTGTTGTGTATACCAGGACTCTGCTAACAGAAGACTATCACCAGATGTAGCCCCTTGACCTTGCACGTTTAGTACTGTAAGCCAAAAATAAACTGTTCTTTGTAACTTACCCACACAATGGCATTGTGTTATTAGCAACAGAAAATAGACTAATGCAATCAAATTGTCTAAAAATGTTCAGAAAGGTTGGGAAACTAGATAGAATTCGGGCAAGACTGCATGGTATTTTACCCCCAAAGATACCTACACAAATAGTACTAATTTTGAGGTAAACATCACTGGAGAAATAAAGAAGCAATAATATGATCAAGATTGACTTTTTCTAAATATACAAGAAATCTAGATATATTTATTGAAATATTTATTTTAAGAATTATAGCTGGGGATGGCAAATTCCTGAAATCCCAGCTACTTGGGAGGCTAAGACAGGAGACTTGTGTTTGAGGTCAGCCTGGGCAATGTACTAAAGCCTGTCTTTAAAAACAAAACAGACAAACACAGACTAGAAAGATTATAAGAACTATATATTGCCTAGTAAAGAAAAAAGAAAGAACTACAATGGCTAGCAAATGCACAAAACATGTTCAACATCTTTAGCAATTAGAGAAATGCAAACAAAATACTACACTGAGATTTCAGCATGAAGTATGCATACCTATATGTTTATAGCAGCATAATTCACAATAGCCAAACTAGGGAACCAGCCTAGGTGTCCGTTGATGGATGAATGGATAAGGAAAATGTGGTATGTATACACAATGGAATTTTATTCATCCTTAAAGAAAAAAAATCATGTCATTTGCAAGAAAATGGATGGAACTTGAGAGAGCATTGTTAGGCAAAATAAGCCAAACTCAAAAATCAAGTATCAGGCTGGGGCTGTAGCTCCGTGGTAGAGTGCCTGCCTAGTATGCATGAGGCACTGGGTTTCACCCTCAGCATCACATAAACCTAAATAAAGGTATTGTGTCTATCTACAACTAAAAAAAATATTTTTTTAAAAAAGTCAAGTGTCATGTGTTTTATCTCATATATGGAAGCTAGAGAGGAAAAGGAAAAAGAAAACTATGTGTGTGGGGGTTGGGGGGAGGTATCTTAAGAAAAGCAAAGGGATACCAGTAGAGAAAAGGGACCAGGGGATGGGGGAAGGGAAAATATTGGGGAACAATATTGGCCAAATTTATATGTGAATGTACAGATATGTAACAACAAATCCCACTATTGTGTAAAATTATAATGAACCAATAAAAATGTGGAAAAAGAATGAGAACATAGAATTTGAGAACATTAATGTCACTTTCACCCCATTTTTTCAATCACACGCACCTTGCTAGTAAGGTTAGGGAATTTCTGGAGCCAATTCCATCAGATACCATTAAAGCTTAGACTACAATCAAGTCTTTGGCTCCTAGTCCCATGTTCTTTGTATATAGTCTGAAGATAAAAACAACAAATCTTCATATATTTGTACCACTGATTATTTAAGTTTTATGGAATGAAGTAGCCTTTCCTTTTTAACTGATATTTTAAAAGAAACTTATAAAAGGCTTCTTTTTGCTTTTTCCACAGTCTATAACTACATATTCATTACCTACTCAGATTTTCTGAAGTATTCTGTCTAGTACCTGAATCTCAAAGTAAACAAGTTTCCTCCCTACCAATTCCAGACTTCTTACCAGATTCTAGACTCTCCTGGTCTTTTAGGTCTGACCTACTTGAGTCTGTATTTTATAATCTGCAGTCATAGATTTCTGTTAGCACTTCCAGTATTTTTGCCTTATTATCTAATCTGTTGTCACCCATTGTCCCTCCAAAAATATCTAGAAACACTTTGTTTTTTTCTAAGAGTGTGAGAAGATTTATGATGCTCTCAGTCAAGTTTCTGTGCTTGGTGGTGTTTCCAGTTGCCAACAGCCTTCTGTTATGACCCTAAACAAGAAAATGATAAATTGGGACAAGACTCAAGACATATTCCTCGCTTCTCTGAAAGGCAGATTTAGAGATAGGATGGAAATTGATGGCTAATTCACCCAATCACATAAATGTCTCATGTAAAAATAAAAGCCAAATACACGTTTTTAGGTTTTTTTTTTTTTTTTTGCATATATTTACAATATAAATACTAAATTTGTTTTCAAAGTACATATTAACAATTTGAAAAAATTATCTAGCCTGGGAGAGCAATTTAATGTAAAGCCTCTATAGTATACTGATTAAGGAAAAATAGAACCGTTTGGGGGATAAGGAATATGAATGGGCATGATGATCTGAACTTGCAAGGGGAATGGGAAGCAGCTTAATTAATCCTCACTGCACTGCCAACACAGCATGTTACAGGACTACTAAGTGAGACAAGCAACCTGGATGGGGTATTGTAAAAACTCAACTTGAGAGATATAAAAAGTACACATGCTTGCATAGTGCATTAATCTTAAAGAAGCTCAACATTTCATTCTCATTTTCAATAGTTTAAATGAATAGCACTTAAAACATCACACAAAATTAAAGACTTGTGCATATATTTCAGATTTCAACATTAATGTCAAAAATACATAGTATGATTTTACATAGGATTTGTGCTACTTTAGAACACTAGAGACAAACATCACTTGAGCATTAAGGAAAACATTAAATATTAAATAACTGAGAAATAAAATGTGTAAACACTAATCTAACTGGGGATTTTGCAACATGTCCAATGAAGTGGTTTCAACAGTACAAAAAAGATTAGGACATGAGTGTTTCCAGTCTACTTGGAATATATAGATCTCATTTTCAGGAATTCTTTAATAAAAACTGGTCCAGGATAATAGGAAAGGATACACTCTCCTGATTGTTAATTTGGTACACTCCATTTTATGCTACTAATTACTTTCAAACTTGGATACCGAGCGTATATTTAAAATATATCACTCCTTATCAACATCTTGGTGAAAACTGAGGGTTTGTTGGCGATTCAGTGTAAGATTTGAGTTCATATGCAGCACCGCTGTCAACCTCCATTGACTTTCTAGAGAACAGGAGCCGTACATCTCTATGGAGGTAGATCTTTCCAGATTTAGAACTCTGGAACCTAAACAAATAAATAAAAGATAAGTCATTTCAGGGAATGAGTCTTTAAAACAAATAAACTTGTATAATTAAAATTTGAAAGTAGGAAAAATTTATTTTGCTACTATACTACATTAACACTAACTCTTTCAAATAATATTTAAGTGCCTCTACCTCCTGAACACTCTGTATTCCTTTTCTCTCTGACAATGCCCAAGGTGCTCATTCCTATGAGTCTGGGTTTCAAAAACAATCTTACTTTTCCTCCATGATTTCACAGCACATGAACCTTTCCTCATTTACAGTGTTAAGTTTCAGTTTATATGAGCTAATTATAATACTTTGGGCTTTTTAGTTCTAGCATCTTCTAGCAACACAGACAAGTCATACATGTCAGCCTCCCATGATTTGGTACAGATCAAAATAGATTCCACACTTGAAAATACTCAAATTTTCAAAATAATCCCAATTATAGGAGTTAAGGAAGAATTCCTATAATTAGTAATAGTCAGCTAAATAAACCTAACCATCATCAAAAATCAACAAGTGACATGAAAATGGCTATTGAAACTGGATTTGAAACTGTTTCTACCCCCTGCTACTGCTGTCTGTCGCATAGTAAAAAGGGCTGTAGTATTAAACTTACTCAGCAGACAGACCAATACACCCCGTAGTGCTAATTTTTCTTTGTTTCCCCTCAGCCTAGAAGAAATACCCTCTGCAGATTTTAAACTGGTGGAAAGATCTGGTGCTCAGATGTGTATGTCAAAGCATATTTATGACTGGCTCACACATTTCTTCTCTCTGAAGTCTTTCACCTTCCCTATCTGAAATAGAACACGGTAAGCTTTGGAAAGTATACCATTTTTTTCCCAAGTAGATTTCTATATAGCATTTAAAGTATCTGGCCATTGTGTGGGGATTATAAAAGAATAGGCAGTTGATTTTTATTCTGGCAAATGTTACTTACATGTGGATAAGGTTGTTAAACTTTGAGAGTGGGCTATACCAGCTTAATGGTAGAGTACTTGCCCAGAATACCTGAGGCCCTGAGTTTAATTCCTGTAGCACCATAAACAAAACAAAAACCCCTAAGAGGAATGGTGTCATATGGAAGTTCATTCAAAGTTAATCTTTTCTAGGTTGGGCTGGGAGATATTCTTACAGTCTGCTACTTTTTAACATTTATCTTTGTAAAAAAGTTTCCAAGTCTGTTTTTGGTAGATTTTTCATTCCCATAATGTATGTAACATTTCCTATGAGATTCATATCAGGCAGAATCAGGCTGGGTTTAAATACATTGTGCTGGTTCAAAGTGTCTTTTGGAGGCAGAACAACAGGCAGAGATGAGAGAACCAATTAAGCAGTGTTTTGAGGGGCAACAATTACTAGAATTTTCAAGCATGGTACTTAGTTGCATGTACAGCTCACTCCTTATTCACCCCAGGTCACCAATGCAAGGCCGATATATACATTTAAAGATAGCTAGTGTTCACTACCTGTTACAGAATAAAGAAGCCCTCTGCTTGAACCCAGGAAGAAAGGTGACTCATGATGAATAGAGCTCCTTATAATAAGGAATAAGTGTATGATGAATGTCATGGACATGTCTGAAAGCTTTTAGGAACCAGAAAACTGTGAGAAACAGAATTATGGGGAACAGGCTATTGAGCCCTCTCTTAATCAACTGATTTTGTTCATGATCCAGAACTACATTAGGATTTCAGGGACACCCTTGGATGATGGCAACTTGAAACAGAAGGGAAAAAAAATGGGTTCTCACAACCTAGAATTATGAGTCAGGTAATAAAAGTTATAAGAAATTTCTTTTTCCTTTCTTTTTTGTATTTGGGGTTGAACTCAGACCCCAGCTTTTTTTCCTAAGACAGTCTTGCTAAGTTGCCCAGGCTAACCTCAAACTTGTGATTCTCCTGAGTCGTGCCCCACCAGGAAAATATATTTTTGATGGAATCATTAGAATATTCAACTCTATGACAGCAAAGATTTTGTCACTCCTGTTTCCCTAGCATCTAGAAGTATTCCTGGCACACAAACAGGTGTCAAAGAAGTGAATGAGTGAATTAAGTATAAGAACTTCCCTAACTAATACAGTAGCTTCTAGCCACATGTGGCTATTGAGCACCTGCAATGTGGCTAATTTACAAACTGAGTTGTGCTTTGAGTGTAAAATATATTCTTGATTCTAAGGATTTAGTAAAACAAAGGAATGTAAAATATCTCAATTTTTATATCAATTATATATTCAAATGATAACATTTGGATATGTTAGATTAAATAAAGTATATATTAATTTTACCTGTTTCTTACTATTTTTTAATGTGGCTACTGAAAAATATAGAACTGTATAAATAGCTAATATTATATTTCTGTAGAACAGCACTGGTTTAAAAAATGTGTTTCACTGCCTCACATATATTTGAATTTTTCTTGGCAAAATATTTCACATTTGGGCTGGGGCTGTAGCTCAGTGGTATAGAGCACTTGCCTGGCATGTGTGAGGCACTGGGTTCAATCCTCAGTACCACATAAAAATAAATAAATAAATAAAAGGTATTGTGTCCACCTACAACTAAAATATTTTTTTAAAAATTTCACATTAAACAGCTATAAATGAAAAGATCCCTAATTTCAATAAGTAATAACTGCAGGGCTGTATGCCATGTACTTTCTACATCTTGATAATCATCAAGAGTTCCCATGCTAAGCAAAGTCTAAGGAATACAATTTTAAAAAAAAGCTAAAAAAGTTTAGAAGTATCTTAAAGTAACATTTTTATATAAATTTTAAACATTACCTCAAATGTATGAGGTAGCGTAATAACCGTTCTTCCGTATGTCGGATGTTCTCTTTATTAATACTTCTCTTCATGTCTTGTTTAACAGGTACAGAAAAAGTTCTTTGTCGTAGGAATGTCTGATGATTGGCTGGCATATCTCGCAAGTCATATATCACAACAAACATCTTCACCACAGTCTTATTAGGATTAAATAAGGTCTGAAGAAACAATATAAAAATTATTCTTTTAAAACAGTGATTTGTTGATATAATTCAGAATTATTATCCAATAATTAAATAGGCTTTTAAATAATAATTTAATCCCCATTGGATATAATTCAGTTTCAGGGACAAAAGTCATAAACTTTTGAAAATTTACAAAAAAATAGTTCTTTCAAAGGTTCAATTTAATTTTTTATTTCACAATAACATAAATTCCTGTAATAAAATTTTTAGTTACAAATTTCATATTAGTAATAAACATTATATAACTTATCCTTGTTCATATTTTCAGATAGTTCCACTAGCTTACGAAAAATATGCCCTTATTGGCTTAAAATATTATAATTCTTTTAGTTCAAACTTAGCTTTTCTGTAGAGTATCAAAAGCAAAATTCACAAGGTGGAATTTTAATTTTTCTCACATTTTAATGGTGAGTAAATTGAATTTTTAAAATAAAACATACAAGTTCAATAAAATCAGAATTTTTGATATCTTAGGTACCTATAGTTATTGTAAAATTAAAAAGAAATGCTCAAAGGGGAGACTTTTCTATTTGAAAATTTTTTCATATTTAGAAAATAAAGCTCATTATTATTAGATCCAAAATAGGCTAAATAATACTTTAGGTATTCACACTTGGACTCATTTCAAAATTTGCAGTGACACTAGGCACTTTTTTTTTTTTTTTTTTGCCTTAATGGGATTGAACCCAGGGGCACTCTACCTCTGAGCTACATCCCCAGCCCTTAAATTTAAAATTGTATTTTGAGACAGGATCTTGCTAAGTTGCCCAAGTTGGAGTCAAACTTGGAATCTTCCTGCCTTAGTCTCCTGAGTCACTGATTACAGGCATTAGTTACCGCCCCCAGCTAGGTTTTTTTTTTTAATCTTCAATATTATTATAGAAAACAATATGGATCCTTTGTGAAGACTGAAATTATTCAATTAGTACTTGACTATTAATAATTGAAAAGAATGTCATTTTTAAAAGTAATAGTTTTTAAACAAAACCCCAACTGCTGATCTGACTTTAACCAAATTACCAACACATCAATAGGTAACTTGGTGCCCATGCTTTCAGAAGCTCATCCGTGGCACTGGACATCACTCACTGAATCAAAATGAGAAATATATCAATATTATGATCCAAATTTTGCAATCTAGTGAGTCTTAAGATTAAGGCTAATACATTTAACATCCATAAAATCTAGCAAGTCAGGAATTCAAACCATGATTATACATTATTGAACCAAGTAAGGAATGAAAGACATATCCAAATTTCATCTCTAAAATTAACCACTAATGTTGGCCATCTCCAAAATAAAAGGTAAATATGTTGCCTCTGGGTTAATGATTCATTGTTACGACAGCTGACAGCCAGATTTCCAGTGACCCACACTTTCTCAGAGGCAAGTGAACAGAAGATTATTACTCCTTTAGTTCAAGAAATCCATTTCACATAAAATGACCCTGTAATATGTAGTGATTCTTTCTTAGAAAACACATATAATGCAAAGTACTATGTTTCATTCCTGTGAGATATGAAATCAACAAACATACAGAGTCCTTGCAATTTTGGAACAATGGTGATAAGTAACAGTGACAGAACACTGAATACATTGAAGCCAAAGGTCATAAAAAGCTCTTTTGGTCTATACCAGATCTTGAGTGCAAGGAACCAGCCTCCATTAAACATATTACTCTGCAAACTTCATAAAAGACTTGAGGGCTTGAAGGAATATCCTGGATCAGGCTTGGAGATCAAACTCAACTGCACACTGGCCTTGAAATCACATTATGCTTCTGAGAACCCTAGACCAGAATAATAAAAAAACTGTTCTGGGCTAGACGGTCTCTTCTGAGCCAAAACATGATTAACACCCAGACTAAAGGAATGATGCTTTCTCTGCCCTGACATTTGCAGACTTAACATTTATTTCCACTTGGAGTGTTCATTTTATTAGATTGATCAATGTTATAAGTCATTACGGAAGGGAAAATATGATTTTGTTTCCCAAGTTTTCCTGCCAAAACAATACAATATTTGGAGCCTCCTTTTAAATAGGTCAATCTCAATATGACTTATCACATTAAATAGAAGGCAAAGGTAATGTTAAGTTATAATTATTTGAAAATAGCTCTACTTAAGTTACACATTCACCTTGATTAGCTTATTAATGCTTTCCTTTTGGGGAGGTCCCCAAATGGGTCATTCCTGGGGCAGAGCACGGAAACTCCAAACAAAGCTGCAGCCCCACTGTTACTTACCAAAGTTGTTGCAGCAGCAGTAGCAGGAGAAAGGGCTAAGTTCTATATGTATGTGAGAGAATGATTATTGCAATTGTAGGCTATAAAACACATACCACTTGTATTGTTCCTGAAGGAGGTACTCGATAACCCCTTTTACCAAGGGACTCTAAAGTAATCACACCCTTGAAATAAAAGAAGACAAATTGAGTACAAACTCATGCATATTTATATAAAAGACTAAAATAAAAATAACATATCATGTAATTGTTAAATTTCAGAATTCCATTTCTATGAAGAAATACTCAAATTGAATTAGCAGTGATACATTCTAAGAGTAATAAAACAGTGATGTTTCCACTCCTAAACAATTTTCTGTTCTTCTGAGGCTGCTGCAATAAATAATATATAACATCAATGGCCACTGTGCTGAAAATTTCCACTGAAGTATAAGATTAAGATGTTTCCTAAACAAAATGGAAGGATTATTCCCATGTATAGTGAAGAGTGGTCATGAAGAAGCAAACAATTTATTGATTTTAGGGCATGTAAAAAGTAATGAGTGTGGAAGGATCTAAGCCTTGGCCCAAAAATGAAGTAATTATTCTTTATTCAGGGAATTAAGTTACATATCTGGATTTCTGACTACAGACAAGGTAAAAAAATAAAATTAATAAAAAGGAAGAAGAAGAAAAAGAGCATAAGAGCGTTTGGGAGTCTGTGGTTCCTGACTGATAATCTACAGGAGAAGAGATGTTCAAGGCAAAAAGTAGAAAATGAAGGTTTAATCAGCAACCTTCAAGACTTTTTTCTACATAAAAGCTATAAAACTCCATTTTCTAAGGATTAAATATTTCTTGTTTCCAAGAATTAAATGTCATGTTGTATCTTACTTAATTCGATCTTAAGGAATTGCTTTTATTAAGGAATCTAATAATTCAAATTGATTATAAATCAGAACACAATGGATTGAAGACCTAAGAGCTAAGATTTGAGTCAAGGATAAATACAGCTAAATTGGGTCATTTCATTAAAATAATCCAAAAGAGGGAGCTGGGGTTATAGCCTCGCACATGTGAGGCGCTAGGTTCGATCCTCAGCACCACATTAAATAAATAAATAAATAAACAAAATAATCCAAAAGAGGATATCAGGAGACCTCTAGGTTAATCTGGTACTCAAAGAATGGTCCTCAAAATATCATCAGTATCACTAGTGAACTTGTTAGAAACGCAGAATGACTTCTCAGATCTACCAAATCAAATCTGCATTTCAACAAAATTTCCCAGATAATACCTTCTATGCATTACAATTTGAGAAGCACTGCTCTAGTATGTGGAATTGTTTTTCTAAGAAGCCCAAACAATGGGGGAAAATGCAAATTTAAGTAAGTTCAAATTGAATGTGTAAAAGCTTCTCAATAACCAGGGTAACCAAAGGACTACAGGTGGTGATTATGATGATTAATTCTTAGGTAGCTTTAAGTAATGAATGCTGATTTGTTCATTTTAACTATTATTGAGTAGTGGAGGTAGTTAAATAGAATTAATGCTCAACATTTCATCATTCTATCGTTATATACTGTACATGCCAAAACATGCCAACCTTATATAAAAGTAAATATAAAACAGAAATGACCTATTAGGTGACAACTCTTGGGTTTGGAAGCTAGACTAGTGTTGGGAGATAAAAATGAGTGGGAAAAAGGAGAAGGGAGGACCAGATTTTGACATATAAATCCCTTAACTCCAAGTACATATTAATATTGGGAAATGGGTACTGAAAAGGCATACATGAGTCTTGACAAATCCAATTTATCACAGTCATTAAAGTACAAAACCAGAATATCATCAGACTGCATCATTAACCAAAAACAGCAGTGATGCTTTAACAATTTCTCACTCAAAATATTCTACATGTTTAGTGAGGTACTATGCATTCCACTTCTCATAAAAAATGCTATGACATATAATACCCTTCTTCTTTCTAGTTCAAGAAAGAAAAAGTAAAATATACCCAAAATAACAGCTCCTTTTTTCCTCTTTTATGGTACTTGAGTCTGAACCCTTGGGCATTTTACAACAGAGCTATATCCCCAGACCTTTTTTTTTTTTTTCAATTTTAAGATAGGATCTTGCTAAATTGCTGAGGCTGTCCTCAAACTTCTGATTCTCCTGCCTCAGCCTCATGAGTTGCTAGACTATAGATATGGGCCACTGAATTTGAAAATAATAGTTACTTTTAACATTACATTGCTACATGGAATACATTAGTATTCTTCACCATTCTTCACTCCCCATAAACACATAAAGGAAAACAGGTAAGGCAAAAACTACTAATATTCCTATGCTTATTTCTTTTAATATATATAATTCTGATAGTTTTTAGAATAATAGTAAATAATCAATTTATAAAGAAAGACCACATATTTTTGAAAAACTTTTTTAAGTTTAGAGCAACATTATTTTTTCAGTACTGGGGATTGAACCCATGGATATTTTGCCACTGAGCTATATTGTCCAAGCATTTTTCTTTTTCTTAAATTTTAATTTCAAGACAGGGTCTTGCTAAATTGCTGAGGCTGGCCTTGAACTTGTGATCCTCTTGCCTCTACTTCCAGAGTAGCTAGGTTACAGGCATGCTCCACCATGCTCAGCCAGGGGGACACTTTTGTAGTTCAGTTGTAAAGAGCCCATGGGTTCAATTCCCGGTACAAAGAAAGCAGGGGTGGGGGGGTGGGGGGGTGAGAATATAAAGATAAGCTAACGCTAAATTTCAGTCAAAATCTTACACAAAACTTTCTCAAATTATTGTGGAATAGAGAACATGCAAAAATAAGTGGAAAACAGAGAGGTGTGCTTTGATTTGGTCAGATTTGAAAGGAAATCATACACGTCTCTGTCAATATGATAATAATGCAAGTAATATTCTAAATTGCCAATGGCACACCTATATTAGATTATTTCTGCCTAGTTTCACCATACAATAGATTCTAAACAGCTAAGTGTTGTCATGTAGCACTTGGAGATTATTTTTACCACTGACTCCCAATTAGAGAGAGAGATTATATGGCTTTGAGTTAATCTTTAAGGAATTCTTTATGAAAAGCCCTATATCAGCTCTATACCACAAAAAATTTCTATGTTAACATTTTACCTTTATGAGTCATTTGTAAAATTTATGATGAGAGGTAACAAAGTTATTAGAATAATAAATAGGAGAATTGTGTCTCAGTTCTGATGGTCTATGAGATGTGTTATCTTTTTTTTTTTTTTTTTTCCTTTTTTTGACCCAGGGGCACTTTACCATTGAGCTGCACCCTGAGACCATTTTATCTTTCATTCTGATACAAAATAAAGTTGCTAAGTTGCCCAGGCTGGCATGGAAATTATGATCCTTGTGCCTTAGTCTCCTGAGTAGCTGGGATTACAGGCATGTACCACCATGCTCAGCTGATATATAAGACATAATCAGTCCTTTGAACTGACTAAACTACTAAAATATAAATAATATTCCCTGAAGAAAAACATTAGTTTTATTAATTTACGGTAGGAAAGATTTGTGGTCTAAGGTTTGCAAGGGGCTCATTCCTAATAATAATGACCTAGGAAAAAAATATAGTAGATAGTTGATTAAAGATTATTATCAGAGAGAAGGAAGTCAGGGATTTGTAAAAGGATAACTTAATTCACTAACCTTATTTGTACCCTTCTTTATAAAAAAATCTGCAATTATATGTATTTCTGCAATTAGATGTATTTCTGTACTTTCTGGAGACACAGTGACAAAAACCTTTTATCTACTACTAATCATTCATTTTTAATATATTAAACAAGGTCAAGGATTAATGCTATTTTCTATTTTTTTTTTTTTTGGTACCAGGATTGAATCCAAGGGTGCTTAACAACAGTACCACAGCCCCAGCCCTTCTTATTTTTTATTTTGAGACAGGGTCTCCCAAATTGCTCGGGTCCTTGCAAATTTTGCTAAGGCTGACTTTGAACTTGTAATCTTCCTGCCTCAGTCTCCTGAACCTCTGGGGTTACAGGTAGCACCTGGCAATGCTATTTTGCTTTTTAAAAGTATAGTTCAAATTATCTCTTGCTTATGAATTTTGCTCAAAGATATTTACTTGAGCTGATTTTTAGTCATTTCAGCCTTTTATCTTGTTTCTAAGCCATCCTAATGGCCATCAGGAATTCTATTTACTAATGACCTTATCTTTCTAGTCTCTATCACTATATACAGAATATGTAAAATGATGAGATTTCTTGATGTCCTGGTAAAGCAAAATGGACATCTTTCGAGCTAAATTTTATATTGTAAGCATTCCAGTATGAGAAGCATTCATTATGGTGTAAAACTTGCCTCAGTGATACTTTCCATTTTATTTACTGTCCAAAATTAACAGCTATTTTCCCAGAACGATCATGGAAAAGTGTGTATATCTTTCTATGGTAAATAAATAATAGGTGGTACATATGTGATAATTTGGCAGGTCTGTGAAGAGGGGACAGTGTCTCTCCTTTTGATAACAACTAATATTGTAAATTCTAATGCGTTAAGACCTCCAAGAGTAAATATTATTGGGAAAAGAAAACAGAACTATGAGTTTTCTATTAAAGTATGAAACACTGATCAGATCCTTGACTAAAAGGTTCTACCTTCAGGATGAAGTAAACCTAAGCAACTTTCCTTGAACAGTGTCAATAATAAGTCAGCTATATAAAAAGTATAACTTTCTTTCCTCTCTGTGGTTTCTCAATTATGTATAAGTTACTTTTTATAGCTTTTATTAATAATAAAAACATTATTACCAATGTTCTTGAAAACCTTAAAGGTGGGAGAGAGGAAGCAACTGGGCCAAATGGTAAGTTAGAAAGTTCAAGTGGCAATACCAGAGATGTACAGTTCCACATCTATAGTAATTTACATTTCTCAAAGTAAGACTTAACATGAAAACCCTTTTGACTCATTTGACTCCATATTTTATATCATCACTGTAAACTTTTTACAGATTTCCACTGTTAGCCACTTCTCCCTCTTTGTATTTTAAAAAAAGGACTAATACACACTCCAGGATTCAGAATCCTTTATGAAGTTTACCCACAACCCACTGGAATAAGAAGTAGGAAAGACAAAATCATAGGATTGAAGGCTCAAGACTGTGCTCTAATTCTCCTTAGCTCTCATGTTCTCCACTAAGACATTAGCATAAGTGAGAAATGGCTAGTATTTCACAGAACCCTAGGATCAGAAAAGAATAACTAAAGACAAAGCAAATAGGGGAAAGGGAAGTGAAAGGGCCTCATAGAGGCCTTAGGTCACCAGATCCTTACCTAAACCCTACTGAGATAAAGACCACACAGGAAGGCAATCCTTTTGGAAATAGAATACAGAGTAAGCACTTGAGAATTTGTGTAGAATTAACAAAATGAAACTGTAGTGTCACTAATCAATAAATCACACAGAACAGACGTTTAGCACCATTCTCAAATGTAAAAGAGGTTAACTGCTTTTTGAGGTAGTTAGTATGAATTCAGCCTCTAATTTTTTCTTAGGAAATATTTTACACTTTAAAGTACTGCATTGAAACAATTAAAGGTATAAGTTAAGTTTGTTGATAATGGCATAAAAAGACAATTTAAAATATACTTGCCATATAAGGAGAAGGAGCATTATCATCTGAAACACTGTAGAATGACACTTCAACTGGAAGAGTCAAATGTGTGGGGCAAAAAACACCACTTGCCCCTACCTCAGCAGTAAAGCCATCAACTATGCCAAGAGGGTCTAAACGATAGTTTAACACAGATTCCTGGAAGACAAAATAATTTGGTAAAAAAATTAGAAAGGTTAGCATACTAATTTCATTTTTTATTTAAAGAAATATATTACATTACCATTCATTCTAGCAGTAGAAAAGTGATTGCTATTCATGCCATGTTCTTTATCAGACTTGAAATGAGCCTCATCTCCCATCAATCTTCTACCATCCTATACAACTGGTTCTCCTCTCACTATTCCAACCAATGCTGAACTCCATTACTTATACCTAACTGTGTAATGTTATTTTTATATCTATAAGTAAAAAAATGTGCTCTATCAGAGGAGGTATTTATCTATTACATTGTTTATAGTACTAAGAAGAGAGGAGTGCTTGGAAACTTAAAAGATAACATGATGTGTTTTATCAAAAGATGAAGCCAAGCACTTAGAATTTTAATTGAGAAATATTGCTTCTTTTAAAAATAGTTTTTGTATTTTATTTTTTAATTTAAAGAACAGTAAGTGTGGGACTGGGGCTGTAGCTCAGTGGCAGAGTGCTTGCCTAGCATGTGTGAGGCACTGGGTTTGAGCCTTAGCACCACATAAAATAAATAAAATAAAAACATTATGTCTATCTACAACTACAAAAAAAATTTAAAAAAAGAACAGTAAGTGTGTTTTAGAAATAAACTTAAAATTACAGAAATACATTTCTTTCAAGCTTGGTTGCTAAAATAACTTCTTTTTTTTTTTAAAACAAGTTAGTGGTTATCTTTTCAGGTATATGAAACATTTTAAAATTTTCACAAGCTTTATTGAATATACACACATTAACACATATATCCATGCATCATGATATGTGATAAAATAATTATTTAATTATTTAAATAATTAATCCTGCAAATCCTCATGAATCCAACAGTCTATGTAGTCTAAATTGGAAACAGTTGACACATCAGAAATTCTAAAGTCTCAGGCTGGGGTTGTGGCTCAATGGCAGAGTATTTGCCTCCCACAAGTGAGGCACTGGGTTCGATCCTCAGCACCACATAAAAATAAATAAAGAGAAATGCAAATCAAAATTACTTTAAGATATCATCTCACTCCAGTCATAATGGCAGCTATTATGAAGACAACAACAATAAGTATTGGCGAGGATATGGGGGAAAAAGGTACACTCATACATTGCTGGTGTAGCCAATTGGTGTAGCCAATTTGGAAAGCAGTATGGAGATTTCTTGCAATTCTGGGAATGGAAACACCATTTGACCCAGCTATCCTTCTCCTCGGTCTGTACCCAAAGGACTTAAAAACAACATACTACAGGGACACAGCCACATCAATGTTTATAGCAGCACAATTCACAATAGCTAAACTGTGGAGCCAATCTAGATGCCCTTCAGTGGATGAATGGATTAAAAAATGGATTTTTTTACTCAGCAATGAAAGAGAATAAAATTATGGCATTTGCAGGTAAATGGATGGTGCTGGAGAAGATAATGCTAAGTGAAGTTAGCCAATCCCCAAAAAACAAATGCCGAATGTTTTCTCTGATATAAGGAGGCTGATTCATAGTGGGGAGGGAGGGGGAGCATGGGAGGAATAGATGAATTTTAGATAGGGCAGAGGGGTGGGAGGGAAAGGGAGGGAGTAGTGGGTTAGCAAGGATGGTGGAATGTGATAGACATCATCATCCAAAGTACATGTATGAAGACGCAAATTGGTGTCGTCATACTTTGTATACAAGCAGAGATATGAAAAATTGTGCTGTATATGTGTAATAAGAATTGTAATGCATTCTACTGTCATTTATTTATTTTTTAAAAAATAAATTTAAAAAGTAAATAAAATAATGACATTGTGTCTATGTATAATTAAAAATATTTTTTAAAAAAAGAAAGAAAAGAAATTCTAAAGTTTCCTGGTCAAAAAGATAAGACTTAACAAATCTGTGCCAAAACTGAATTTCTATATCTTCCTCCTGCTCTGTAATCAAACAATATCTTGTTGATTTTACCTCTCAGTTTCAAGGCCTCATCTCTTTTTTTCTGCTCCAGTACACTAGATCAGAACCTTACCACCTTTGCACTAAAATGCAACATCTTCTAGTCAGTCTTTCCATCTCTAGTGTACCACTACTCAAATTGTTGCACAGAGCCCCTGTGCTTCAGTTCCAACTGAAGTATGGGGTATTGGGGATTGACCTAGGGCTGTGCTCTACCAGTAATACAACCTCCAGCCCTGCCATGGTCTTTTATTAATTTTGCATGTGTACCTCTACATATTTAATTTTCTCTATCTGGAATTTCTTGTTATTCCCCACTACCCAAACAAATTTACTTGGCAAATTCCTACTCTTGTAACCAAGCTCAAGTGACAGTTCCTCATTAAAGCTGTCCCCAAAACCTTTAACAGAAATAGTAGATACACAAATACTGAGGAAACTTCTAATATAGTGCTAATTGCTTGGGATTTTAAATTACTTACGTGTCTTTCTTCTTTAATAGTTGTTATAAAGCAGGAACTTTATCATTTAGCTTTGTATTTCTAACAGTATGACACACAGTAGGTACTCAACAAATCCTTCTTTCTTTTATAAAAAAATATTTACTTTTTAGTTGTAGTTGGACACAATGCCTTTATTTATTTCTTTTTATGTGGTGCTGAGGATCGAATCAAGGGCCTCTCACATGCTAGGCAAGTGCTTTACAAATGAGCCACAACCCCAGCCCCTTAACAAATGTTTCTTAAATAAGAAAACTATTCTAAAGATGGATAGAATTGTTATAGGAAGGGCACATATAAAAATGTTTATAGATAAAACAAATGACACATATTAGTTGCTAACTTTCTGGATAATTCAAATTTTGTGAATTTAATATACTAGCATACAGTACATTCCAGGTCCTACTTGGTACAATATGACAATGAAAGGAAATAAAAGACATACAGATTACCAACTAACAAAATTTTTCCTGCTTATAGATCACATGACTCTTTACACAGAAAACCCTAAAGAATCTTTATAAAAAACCTACAGAGATTAGTGAGTTGAGAAAGGCAATAGGTGATACACACACAAACACAGTTATATTTCAACATAATTAATTACCAAATTGAAATTAATTTTTTTGGGGGGGTACGGGGGATTGAACTCAGGGGCACTTGACCACTAAGCCACATCCCCAGCCCTATTCTTTATTTTTATTTATATACAGAGTCTCACTGAGTTGCTTAGCACTTCGCCATTGTTGAGGCTGGCTGTGAACTTCAGGTCATACTATCTCAGCCTCCTGAGCTACTGGGATTACAGGCATGCACCACTGTGCCTGGCCTTGAAATTAATTTTTAAGTATACTTTACAATATCTCTAAAAAACAGTATACACTTAAGTATACATCTACAAAAAATGTTCAAAATATGTAGGTTGAAAAATATAAAACACTGACTTAAAAAAATTCAAGACTATCTTATTTGGTATGGATTTCATGGATCAAAACATTTAATATTCTTAAGATGTCAGTATTCTCCATAATTGATCTATATCAATTCATCCTATACAAAAATATTAGATGGCCGTTTAGTAGTAAAAGTTAAGCTCATTCTAAAATTTACATTAATAGATAAAGGAACTAGAATAGTTAAAGCAATTATTATTAATATTATTTTATTTATTTATTATTTTGGTATAAGGGATTGAACCCAGGGATGATTTACTACTGAGTTACATTCCCAGCCCTTTTTATTTCTTACTTTGAGATATGGTCTCACAAAATTGATTAGGGTCTTACTAAACATTGAGCCTGGCCTTGAACTTGAGACCCTTCTGCCTTGGCCTCTCAAGTCATCGAGATTACAGATGTGTGCCACCATGCCCAACTTAGTTAAAGCAATTTTGAGAAAAAAAAAAGTTAGGACTCATACATGTTTTCAAGATTAGAAAATTTGACATCCATATGCATAAAAATAAATTTTGACTACACACCTCATATGACCTACAAAATTCAATTCTAGATGAAAACATAAAAGAAAATCTATATGACCATAGGTTAGGGCACTGGTTTTCAAGCATGGGATACTTGGCAATATTTGGAGACATTTTTGGTTGCTACAATATGGGGGTGGTAGTGGGATGGATCCAGTAGAGGCCAAAGATTTTGCTAAATATTCTACAGTGCTCAGAAAAGCTCCCTCTAACAAAGAAATATTATGAATGCCAAAGTTAAAAAGGCTTGGGCTAGGCAAAGATTGTTTTAGATAGAGTAAAGGCAATATACAGTAAAAAATATTCATAAATTAGACAAAAAAAAAATATTTTTCTCTTAAGATACTGTTACAAAAATAAGTGTAAAGCCACACTTCATATTTGGAGACAATACTTGGAAAACCTATGTGCTTACATGCAAATAAACACAGGAAAAGAGGGTCACCATGATTAATCACTAGGGAAATAGAATTAAAACTACAATAATTATTATTTTTAAATTTTAAATATTTTTTAGTTGTTGATGGACCTTTATTTTTTTTTTATTTATTTATACGTGGTGCTGAGAATCGAACCAAGTGCCTCATGCATGCTAGGCAAGTGCGCTACCACTGAGCCACAACCCCAGCCCAAACTACAATAATTAAAAAGACTGACCAGTATAAACTTTGGGATAGATGTGGAAGCACTAAGACTCTTGTATACTAATAGTGCTACTTAAAATGGTAAAACTTTCCGGAGCACTGTGTACCTGTAATCCCAGCAACTCAGGAAGCTGAGGCAGGGGGCTATAAATTGGAGGCCAAGCTTGGCAACTAAGTAAGACCCTGTCACAAAATAAAAAATAAAAAGGGCAAGGGGTGTAATTCAGTGGTAGAGTGGCCCTGGGTTTAATCCCCAATACTTTAAAAAAAAAAAAAAAAAAAAAGACAAAAGTATAGTCACTTTGGAAAACAGTTTGTAAGTTTCTTAAAAAGTTAACCATATATATATACACCTTTAATACTAACCAGATATTCCATTTCCAGGTAGTTACCCAAATGAAATGAAACCTTATGTTCACAAAAAATTTATGCACAAATATTCATAGCAGCTTTATTTGTAATACGTAAAAACCGAATACAACCCAATTTCCAGAATTAGGTAAATGAATTAATGAACTGTAATCCATACAATGGCAATCAAAGGAATGAACTCTTTTAAAGTTAGGACAACAGGGATAATCTCAAAATAATGGTGTATAAAAGAAGACTCCAAACCTTTTCCCAAGAGTAAATATGGTATGACTCCATTTATAAACAATTCTAGAAAAATACAAGCTATTTTATTGTGACAGAGGGTACTTTATTTTCAACTTCTCTATAAATTTAAATAATATTCTCTACTTTAATAGTATTTTTTAGATCATAGGTTTTAAATAAATTTTAAATAAAAGTTAATGACCTATTCTTAAAAATTTATTAGAGAACATTTATCTTATTATATATTATAATAGGATTTTTGAGATCAAATGGTTAAAATTTTAAGATTAAATGGTTTTTTAGATTAAATAGTTCTTGTATGGGAAAAACAATCCATTTTCAGTGGTTGTTGGTATTATGTTGAACTGAACTGATGGAAGAAGATAATCACATGATAGATGAGTTGAATGAATATAATGAGGTTTTGCAATAGAAAACTCTTAATGGTAGCAAGAAAAGGTGACTAATTAGAAAAAGAAATAAAGGACACCCCTGCATTTGGGTGTTATTCTGGGTCAATGTGTTCACAGACTCCATTTAAGGCCTCACATATAATGTGAAAATACCCAAATTCCCCTCAACAACATTACAGGAATTAAGATTTTGTCCTGCTTCATAAAACAAGACCAATGTGAAAGTTAAGAATTCAAGACTATTCCCCAATACACCTTTCTTATTGACATAGAGTATCTAATTCACTAAGTAAATATCTTCTATAACTTACTGAAGAGAGTATCAATTTTATTGTAAAGAGAACACATATGGGTTAGCAGTCTCAGAACTTCCCTGTATTTTGTCCCCTGAGTCACATGAACAAAATGTATGCATATTTACATAAGTAGAATCCTCTGAAAACAACAATGTATAGATCTTTTAACCATCTTCCCTGTTCTAAAGTTTTTATATATCAGACTGCTTTCTACTCCCTCATAAACATTTTTGTCTTATAAAGGTTGAAGAGCACCTGACTCTCACAATGGTCTAAGCAATCTTAACTCTAAGACAAAGAGGAATAGAGTTCAGCATCTCTGGACTAATTGTTTGAAAGTGACATGGAAAATAGATAATTTAACACAAAAATATCTTTTTTTTAAATTTCCACTAAAACTTTGAAAAATAGTCTCAACATTAAAATAATTATAAAGCACAATGGTCACAAAATGTACCACAACTCTGGTAAAGCTATTTATTTTAATTAAAAATACAAAATAGAAATTTTTTTCCCTAAAAAAATTCACCAATTAAAATCACTTTTAAAATGGCATTTTTAAGTTCATGTTTAATGTTTAGGTGATTTCTAATTAAAGGCAGAAAGCCAGGCTTTGTGGCACACCTAGCTACTTGAGAGGCCAAGACAGGAGCCAGCTTTGGCAACTCAGCAAGACTTTGAAAGGCTGAGGATGTAGCTCAGTGGCACTGTACTTGCCTAGCATACCTTGGGGTTCAATCCTCAAAACTGAAGACAAAAACAAAACAAACAAACAAAAAAAAAAAAACCCCAAAATCCATGAATAGATAAACTCATGATATTATGACATACTTTTTTTTTTTTAAATATTTATTTTTTAGTTTTCGGCGGACACAACATCTTTGTTTGTATGTGGTGCTGAGGATCGAACCTGGGCCGCACACATACCAGGCGAGCGCGCTACCGCTTGAGCCACATCCCCAGCCCCTGATATTATGACATACTTGATCCCAAGTTTAAATATTCATATTATATAAGGAAGTAAATATATTAGAAATCTTTAGCCTTTTGATCTTTTAAAAATTCTATTATTTTATAATTAAGAAATAGATTTAGATTTACAGAAAAGTTACAAATAAAGTACAGAGAACCATTTGATTTTGTTAATTAATCTCCTTGATCATAAAGGGGTTGTTATCAGCCATCATCACATTTCCTGGGGTTGAGGTTATAACTCAGTTGGTAGAGTACCTGCCATGCATGCACAAGGCCCTGGTACCACAAACAAAAAAAGAATAAACATTTCCTGGGTAGCAAAACCTTTTTTTTTTTTTTGAACAGGATCTCACTATGTTGCCCGGGCTGGTCAAATGATCCTCCTGCCTCAGCCTCCTGGATTGCTGGATCTATAGGCATGCTACACCATGCCTGGCTAACAAAGCCACATTTTCAGAGAAGATGTGGTAAACTCTTCTCTTGGCTAAAGTAACAGACACCTCTGTTTAACCTGATTTCACCAAAGTCCTTTACCTCCTCTACCAGTTACCCAATTCTAAGATGTCACTGTAGACAATTCTTCCAACTTCTTTTCTCACGAAAACAAAACATAATTAAAAAGGTGACTTCAAGGTTTTAGAAAAATATAGCTGATTTTTTTTCCTTTTTGTTAAGAAAGTTAAAAACATAAATGCTATCCTGGACCCAAGTTTAAAAAACTTCAACTCTTTAGTTTCAAAACACATTACCTCAAAATTTCCTAGAAGACTAAGACTTGTTATAGGTGGAGCACTAGAACTCAAAAAAGGTTTTTCATGAATATCTGGATCATCTTCAATGTTTAAACATGGCCGAGTACTAAACAAAAAACAAATCAATAAAAGAATACATTAAAAACAATCTTTTCTAATTTACTTTTTACAAAATTAAATTAGGAGAATCTGAACAATTTTACTCAAACCACCATAATAATAAAATTAATGTCAAATTTTAAAACATAAAATTTATAGTTTAAAATTTCAGATTAGATTTCATATCTGTTATAATATTTAATATTATGCAGGATATCCATATATCTGATAAAAGATGGAGATATGTATATGTATCTTAATCATGCTAAAGGTTTCCAGGTGGAATTTATGACATCATATAGTGGCAGCTACCAGAAATATTAAATAATTCAGATTTCTATATCAATCTTTATTTTTAGCTGAAAATAAAAATACAAAGGCAAAATTATGTGACCAAAGGATATAATCAGAATGCTGTGGATGTGGGTCAGTGGTAGAGCATTTGCTGAGAGAGAGAGAGAGGGGAGGGAGGGAGGGAGGGAGGGAGAGAGAGAGAGAGAGAGAGAAAAGAAAAGAATAGAATCTGAATATTACTTGCCAACATGGAAAAAACTGCTAGGGCTTTCTTTTTTGCAAAGGAATAAAAAGTAGAGTTTAATGATCAGAGATATATAAATGTAGCTAAATGTTAAAATCTCTGTGCTTATTATGACTGTTGCTACTCATTGTCTCAATTTCCTTCTGATTTATCCTTAATAACTGTGTATGAATAGTATTATATTGAAAATAAGATTTCTATTACAATTTGACTTTTACACTTAATATTATTTATTGTGCAAGATCAGAATTGTGTGAAGTTCTGCTTCATGTACACAAAGAAATCTTAAAATAAATACCTTCTAGATGATAAGCTTTTCAGATGCAATAATGAAGAATCCAGATCAAAACAACCCGATTGTGTCTTTCTTTGAGGAACCTAAGGTCAAAATAATCATTTGTAATATCAAAAGACTAATTTTTTCTTGAATTGAGAAAATGACTTTCAAATGAAAGCTACACTTATCTTTAAAATAATAAGATTTATCTCATACCAGTTTACTTCAAATAATATTATGTATTACATATTCTTCTTTGCCCATCCCAATCACTACAACATTCCCAAGTAGTCTAAAGCGTTACAGAAAATAGGTTTGGAAAATAATACCATGGATTTCCAAACACTGTGTATACCAGATTACAGTGACAAACCACCACTTACTCAAAATATCCTAAAAATAAAATACCCAGATATAAATTTATTTTGTGGGAAGGTACCAGAGATTGTATTAGGGATTGAACTCAGGGGCACTCAACTACTGAGCCACATTCCCAGCCCTATTTTGTATTTTATTTAGAAACAGGGTCTCACTGTGTTGCTTAATGTCTCGCTTTTGCTGAGGCTGGCTTTGAACTTGAGATCTTCCTGTCTCAGCCTCCCATGCAGCTGGGATTACAGGTGTGCACCACCTCACCTGGCTCCAGATATAAATTAAGGATAAAATATACAACGTGAAAATTAGATTTGATGGGCTGAGGTTGTGGCTCAGCGGTAGAGCACTCGCCTAGCATGTGTGAGGCCCTGGGTTCAATCCTCAGCAACACAGAAAATAAATAAATAAATAAAGATGATATTGTGTCCAACTAAAAAATAAATATTAAAAAATGTTAGATTTGAGGGCTGGGGTTGTAGCTCAGTGGTAGAGCGCTTGCCTCGCACGTGAGAGACCCTGGGTTCGATCCTCAGCACCACATAAAAATAAATAAACAAAATAAAGATATTGTGCCAATGTATAACTAAAAAAATATTTTAAAAAAGTTAGATTTGATTCTTGAATATTAAACGTGTAAAGTATCTGATTCACTGGTCCAATTGGCATTAAAATATCTACATATTAAAATTTTTCAGAGTGGTACAAGGGTACCATGCTATTTATTTTAGTCAGAACTTATTTGTAAAATTTTCAATCTAAACTCTCATGATTTCTGGAATGTTCTCTATCTTCATTTCTTCTAATATTGGGTTTTATTATTTCATCTAGTCTTTCTTTTAGAACATCTGCTAGACTTACATTGAACACATCAATCTACCTTCTGTGGCTCTTTAGATTTTATCATTTATTTCCCTTTTTGTACTTCCTTCTAGGTGCTATGTATGTACTCAGTTGCTAAATTTCTATTCAGCTAATCTATTATTTTATCCATCCAAATTCAATATTTTTTATATCTATAATTTCTATTCAGTTATTTTTTAAAAGCATGTGTTCTTTCATCTTAATTCCCTATCTTTGCCTTCATTTAGCACTTAGAGCATTTAAACAGAATTATTTTTAATTCCCTTTCAGGCTACTCTGATGACAGGATTCCTATATGTGAATTCTTACATTTCTTGTTCCTACTAATGATTTTTTAAAGGTGCTTTGTAATTTTTTCCTCTCTGAGATCATTATCAACAAGAGGTAATTTTTTAAAGAAAATCAGTCCTTAGTGCCCTATAGATGTGGGATGGTTTGCTTCCTCCACTGGTTCACAATTTGGATTTCATGGATTCAGATTTAGATTTCATGGCTATTTCTTAGCTAGACATGTCTAAATATCATTGTGGGGTTTCTGAATTTATGCTACCTATAAGTGCTTTAGGATTTAGGTCTAACTTCTTCTGGGGGTTTCTTTTTCTCACTCCACATATCCTTGGAATATTTTGAGTAAAGAGGTGAATTACAATTTTTTTTCTCATTTAATAGAAAGCCAGGCCTTCCCTGGCTTTAATGAAGAGTTTAGTTTTTTCCAGCTATGACTGATGCAGACTTGCATCCTTGACTCCTAGCCTAGTAGGAGCATTATACCATACCTTCACTCTGCATTAGATTCAGATTTCCCAGAGGACTACAATTTTCCCCAAGTTTGTACTTGGGGACTTATTTTTCTTATTCTTATACTACATTATGTATTTAGAAGTTGTTGTATTTTATCCAAGACTTCTATGTTTGAAAGGAAGAAGAGTTTTCCTGTATTTATTTCAGTCCAATATATTGACCAAAGTCTTGTCTTACCTCATGTTTAACTGAGATGGCAGCCATATCAACTAATTACAGAGTACTTACTATATACCAAGAATCATTCTAATTATCATCATAATACTAAGGTAGGTTCTATTTCCCCTATTTAGAGATGAAAACCTGAAGGTCTCAGAGATTTTTTCCTTACCTAATGTTACAAAACTATGGTGAAATCATTGTGACTCCAAAGAGATGTTTTAAACCATTGCACTCAAATCTATAAACCTATTTGTAAGCACAGAGTAGGGATATTTATATGTCTCACAATAAGACAACTAAATTCATGAGTTTAAAATCAAAGACAGGTATCAATTTATTTATTTTTAAGTTTTGGGCGGACACAACATCTTTGTACGTGGTGCTGAGGATCGAACCAGGGCCGCACGCATGCCAGGCAAGCGCGCTATCACTTGAGCCACATCCCCAGCCCCGACAGGTATCAACTTAGTTCCCAGATGAACACATTCATCAATATCAGTACTTACTGAGATATAAAAACTTTTTTTTTTGGTACTGGCAATTGAACCCAGAGGTGATTTACATTCTCAGCCCTTTTTATTATTTTTTTTTTTATTTTGAGACAGGGTTTCTCTAAGTTGCTGAGGACCTCACTAAATTGAGGCTGACCTCAAACTTGCAGTTAACCTACCTCAGCTTCCTGAGTCACCGAGATTATAGGCACCATACCCAGCTACAAAGGCTATTATATAAAGTCCCCTAGACATCAGGGGGCTTTTTTGGCATTAATAACAATAAAAATATTGTTATTTTATGAAAATTTTAAAGAATTTTATGAAAATTTTTAATTCTAATACAATAAATATAATTTTTATTTATTTTTAGTGTTTTCCCCCCATATTATCACCTGGGTGTTATTGTGCTGTCAAATAATAAAATGTTTTACAACTGAAAATTTATTTCAAAAGCACTTAAATTTTTTACAAGTAAAATTTGAATGTAACTCTTGCAAATATTTTAAATGTTTGTAGGTTTTCAGAATGAGATAAGATAAAAAAGAAAGCACTTACAGGACTTGAAAGAAGAGGCAATCCAGTTCGAGGATGAAAGGCTCTGGTTGAGGTTCCATCCAAGGAATGGAAATTATGTTTTCGCCAGACACTTGATTGTTTCAGTGTGGTCCTCTGTTAAGAAAATAGATTTTTTTTTTTTTTAGAGTCCTGGGGATTGATCCCCAGGGGCTTTCTACTACTGAATGTCATCTCCAGTCCTTTTTATTTTTTATTTTGAGACAGGGTCTTGCTAAATGTCTAAGCTGGTCTTGAGCTTGTGATTCTGCTGGGATTACAAGTATGTGCCATAGCACCTGGCTAAGAATTAGAATTTAATGGTATATTTAAATACCATTTAAAGAACTTGTGTAGCTTTTTGGTTTTTAGATTCATCCTTAATGCATTTGAGGTTTATATCCCTGGTGCTGAAGCTGATAATGTATCTCTATTTTGTCTACACACACACACACACACACACACACACACATTCTAATTAGAAAACAATGCCTAAGGTATTTTAATATGCTGAATAAACACAAATATTCTAAAGTATGCCCCAACAAAATTGCCTTCTTAACATGTTAACTCAGAATCTAGCATCTAGTAAGCTAATATTTATTTTAATTTATAAAAATACAATGATTCACAGGTGGAAAAACTTAGTACAATATTCTAAAGCAAAATTTTGTTAAGTATCATTTTCAGAGGATTTAATTTGGTGATACAGAAACATATGAAATATTACTAATTTAAAAATGCAGCAGCTCAGGAGGTTGAGGCAGGAGGATTGCAAGGTCAAGGCCAGCCTCAGCAATGAAGGGATACCTGGTCTCAAAACAAAAAATAAAAAAGGATTGGGGATGTGGTTCAGTAGTAAAGTGCTCCTGGGTTCAATCCCAGGTACCAAATAAATAAATAAGCAGTCACAGCACTATGGTTTTGATGTTAGTCAAAAAAGAAGTAAACCATATGTGGTAGCATATGCTTGTAATCCCAGCTCCTCAGTAGCTGGGGCAGGAGGATCACTTAAATCCAGGAGTTTGAGGTCAATCTAGGCAATGAAGTAAGACCCTGTCTCAGAAAAAGAAAAGCTAATTTTTAAAAATTAGGAAAATGTATGTAAAGATCAAAATTTCATAAAGAGCACATAAATAAAAATTAGGGGGAAAAACGATTAATTTAGATCCTGGTGCTACCATGTATTAGCTTTGAGACCTTGAATAAATTACTTTAATCTCTGGCCTATAGTTCTCATCTACAAACTGTAGTAAAAGCACCTAACCTCACAGGCTAGTGAAAAGATTCAGTAAATTAACATGTAAAATACGCAGATGAGAAAGCTTGAGTACACAGTAAACAGCACATGATTATATTTAAAAGAAGCACATGAAAAAAAATGATTACAGTGGCTTGAAAAACAATGGCCAGATTAAGCTTCTCTATTAGGCATCACAAAGAATAAAAAATGATGGAGTCTTGTTATGCTGCCCAGGCTGTAACTTGGGATCTTCCTGCCTCCACCTCCCAAATAGCTGGGATTACAGGTGTTCACCGCTAGGCCCAGCAAAAACCCTAATATTCTGAAGGCCAGAGAAGGTTTCTGTGACAATTGTAGTTTTATGGAATGTATTTTATTTAGGTAGAACATTACAGGTTTATGAATTATTTTTAAATCTATTATTCAATCATTAATGCAACTCTGAGAGAGGCAAAAGACATTTAGCCTTCTTGTAAATTGACATGAGGTTTTTAGAAGTTATTTGACTTATTTGGTATAACTCAAGGACTAAACTGTGAAGCCCAAACTACAACTAGATGTTTTGACTAATAGCTTAGTGATTCTCCTAGAGACATGCCTAAAACTATTAACTGGGGTGGGGCATAAATATCGGGCAAACAGTATGTACTAGGTCAGAGTAGCTGACAAAAAAATCAAGCTAATGTGAGTTTCTTTTCAATTCCTGTTTATCTCCATCAATTATTCATAAATATTAAAATTAAAAAAACAGTAAGAATTAAAATGAACCAAGGACTTGTATAGTCCACAAATTTGTCCTTCATTATATAAGGCAGAAGGAAGAACTGTGGATTGAAAGTCAAAGACCTGAGAAAGGGCATGGTGTGCCAGTTCAACCCCCAAAGACTTTTATAGCTACTGGTATGTCATTTATTCTGAGTCTCAGTTTCCTCATCTGTCCTACCTGTCATAGTAAAGTACAAAAAGAACCAAGTGTTTTCTAATCATGTATTATAACTGAAAGCAATATATAAATACTATACAAAATCAAAGTGTTTTTATATCTGTAAAGCATTCATTCTCCTGAATCCACACACCAAATATTATTTCTTCTGAATAGAAGAAAAAGGAACAGATCTTTTAGATTGCAGATAATGGGGAAGAAACAGAGTTAAAAGGTCTCAATAATAGACTAATAAATCAATAAAAAAATTATTGTCATAAGAGCAGTTTTTAAACAATGAGATCTTTATTTTTTCTATGTACCTGGTACTTACCGTCAAGAGAGTATGTTATTTGTAAGGAGACTAACAGTTTGTAGAAAGCTAATTATATCAGAGTGAGTGTTCTATGGATAATGGACACCTCAGATCTTTAATAACTAAACTAGATCTTCTGTGAAGAAAATTCAAACCATAACAGTTGAGAATTATATTTGAAATATAAGATGCTACCTACCAATACTTCTGTATTTTTTAGTCGTTCACATGTAGACAAACAGTCTTTTATACTCTTTCTTTGAGAACAATTTTGAGGTTTTTCATCAGTTGAGTCTTCTTTCTTATCCTTATTTTTTAATTGGTTTATCTTTTTGCATTTAAATCCTTCATCATCTTTATTGAGATAATTTTCTATGCTATTAAGTCGAGTATTTTGCTCACATGTCTTTGGCCTTTTTGAGTCTTTATCTGAACAATTATTTTCATACTTGTTCAGATATTCAGACATTTCCAACATAGTAACTTTTAACTTTGAGTCACTTGTCTTTGAATTATCATACTGGAGATTGTCAAAGGATTCTGGATTACAATTTTCATTTTTTATTATTTTTTCTTTGCACTTACTTGTGCAAATATGTTTGTCAATACTGTTACATTCTGAATACTGTTTATCAATTCCATTGCTAATTTCTTGCTCCTTAAATTGAGACTCAGAAAGTGTATTTTCCAATCTGCTTTTCAAATCTAAGTTACTTTCATTGCAATGAGACATATTTGAGGAAGTCAATACACTAGAAGCTTTGTTCTGTGTCTCTTGATATATATTTTGGATGATTTGACTAGGACTGTTCTGACACTGATTTCTTATTTGAGGTTTTAAAGAAGACTTTCCTTTACAAGAACTAAAAGATTTATTAGGTATTAAATTTTTCTCATCACTGTTGTCTCCTAACAAGGAAAATTTTGTATGAGAAATGGAAATGGAAGAGGCATCATCCTTAGTTTTCTTTAGCAAATTTTTGTCTTCATATGAGCTCCTAAATACTTTAGAAGGAACCAAATTGGAATCATGCATGTTGAATGAGGGACAAGGAATATGTGATGCTGTTGGATCAATGTGCTCCAAATGATGAGCAATTCTTGCAATAACATCTTGTCGTTCCTGGAGTAAAGAACCTATCAAAGGATTAATTTCTCCAACAGAACGATGAGAATAAAGACCATTAGAAATGCAAGTTTCACTTTGGGAAGTTTCTAATTTTACTTGAATTTTCCCCTCATTGGTGCCTTCTGAGCAAGTAAACTCTGGATTACCAAAAGAAACAGAGAAAGTTTCTTTACATTTTCTCACATTTTCATTTTCCTGTGAAACCCGGTAAAGTTTGGAATTAAGTGAACTAGATTCTTGAGTTGTAAATGGATGTCCAGAAACATGTGAAGTGCTTGGATCACAATGAATCAAATGCTGAGCAATTCTTGCAATAACTTCTTGTCGATCCTGGATTAAAGAGTCTATTAAAGGGTTAGTATCACCAACTGTGTGCCAGGAACTCTGGTTGCTAGAGACACTAGAATCAATCATTGAAAATGATTTTAAAGTTCTCACTGATGTCTCATGTGACTTTATATCTCCTATACCACTGAAGCCCAAAATATTGGCTTGAGATGTCCCATAGTCAGATTTATTGCCAGAGCCTGGATATAGTTTGACATTTTTGATGGCTGCAGTATACTCTGGAGTTGTGCCCCTTTTTCCATGTAATACACTTTCAGAAGCCATGGTCCAAGCTGGTTTGCTACACAGACGCTGTGAACTCTTTGGACTACATTGTTCTGCTTCATTAGAATTGCGGTGCTGATGAGTTTTAAGTTCATGTTCTTGAATTCTTTTCTCATACAGGCCAATGTTAGTGTGAATACTACATGTCAAAACTGGGTAATAAGATTGTCTGGGTAAAGACTGAACGCTGACTTTCAAGGCCACATTGTGAGAAACGTTGGGAACAGGAAACACATGTTCAATTGGAGTCTGTGAAAAATTCCACTGAAGGTCTACATCAGCAGCACTGATTCTAGAGTCAAACAGTAAAATACAGAATCAATGGATTATAAAAGTCACATCTTTATCATTGTATATTAAAGAATATAAAGCAGTTGCATACTTATCTTTGTTTGCATTAATTACCACTGAAATTTACTTTTAGCCACTTTGCCATGCATATTACTCTGATAAAATGAGTCTGAGATTGTGGCTCAGTGGTAGAGGCACTGGGTTCAATTCTTAGCACCACATATAAATAAATAAAGGTCCATCAACAGCTTATAAAATATTAAAAGAAAACCCAACATAAGTGGTATCTTATGCTTAGAAGAGATGATCTTTTTAAGAACACCAGACTATTTAAGTATTCAAGCTCAAGAATATTATCATCAAAAATATATTTGTCAAAACAAAAAGAATAAATGGATTCAGCTAATTTTATTGTGCAAGGTGACTAAGATAAACTATTTCATGACCACCTGACTAAAGAGCTAATAGTTGCTTGGTAGGGGATATGTGTGTGTGTGTGTGTGTGTGTGTGTGTTTATTTTAGGTAAGGTCTCGCTATGTTGCCCAGGGTAGCCTCAAACTCAACTCTTTTCTCTCAGCCTCCTAAGTAGCTGGGACTAAAGGCATGCACCACCATGACTATGTATATTCATATTTTTCAAGATGCCAAAAACTCAGGACTAGGGATGTGGCTCAGTAGTAGAATGCTTGCCTACCCTGTGCGAGGATCTGGGTTCAATCCCCAGTACCATACACACACAATAAAATTATCAAACTATATAGTTAAAATATGTGCATTTGCCAATCATGTGGTACATGTCCATAATTCCAGCTACTAGTGAGGCTGAGGCAGAAGGATCTCAAGTTCAAGGCCAGTCTCAGCAACTTAGTGAAACTTAAAAAGGACTGGGGATATAACTTGTAGTGGTAAGATGCCTCTGGGTTCAATCCTCAGTAGGAAGGAAGGAAGGAAAGAGAAAGAAAAGAAGAGAAATTCAGAATCCCATAAAATATTTCCACTTTATAGTGGTAGCAGCAAATTGTTCTTCTCTAAAGTAAGTTTATCAAATTTATTTCAACAAGTAAAATTCACACTGACTCAACCTAAATTTCTCAAACTTGTTTTGAGAAAATTCTCATTAAATTTTATCCATTTATATTCAGAAATGAAGAAAAGAAACTATTTTTAAAAAATCACATTCAGTAAGTTAAGCAATGTGAATATACATGTCCCTTTTTTGCCTTAGACATACCTGTAAAGAATATTTCGTGGAATAGCACCATGAGAAACACTCAGCCATGCACTTAACTGAGAAAAAAACACAAACGAGCGGACAGCCAACAGAAGAGTCTTCTCTTCAATGAATCGATCACCATTCCTAATGAAAGTAACAAAGCCTAATTTAATTGTCATCAAGCACACATGATTGAATTTTAGGAAGATGAAGCTGAAATTAACATATCACTCAGGAGGTAGGCTTTTAAGAGCAAAAGAATGAATGTACCAATGTCAAATTTATGATTACTTAACATAAGTATTAAACATCTAAGTATTAAATTTTACTACACAGAGGAATTCTAAGATATGATATAATATTTTTTAAAAACTATAGGAAGTAATAAAAAAAACTTGATTTATCAGGATCAACTTCAAAGTAAGCTCAACAACTTACTGTCGAGGAACTGGCTCCAATATCCATCTTTCTAATAGTAATGCATCTTGCTTAATTGCAGGATCATTTAGGTCAATGCCTTCTGTGGTAGGCCCATCATCACTGTAGCAGCAGTCTGGTAGTAGCATCACTTCCACCATGATTGGAAGATTATTCTTCCACAACAATGTGACCTCAGACCTGGTTCGTCTGGCTTGGCGACACTTTGAGAAAATGAATATAAGCAAAATTTCTCAATAATCTGCCTAATTTTGTATTTAAGTTTTAAAATTGTAAAGTAGAGGGGCTGAGGTTGTGGCTCAGTGGTAGAGTGCTCGCCTCTCATGTGCGAGGCCCTGGGTTCGATCCTCAGCACCACATAAAAATAAATAAATGAAATAAAGGTGTTTTGTCCAACTACAACTAAAAACTAAATATTTAAAAAATTGTAAAGTAGATAGATATTAATTAGAAAGGAGTCACCTATTGCAGAGCTTTTGGATTTTCTCATTAAATAATGTATTCATGCTAGTGAATTCTGAGTTCAGGGATTAGTATTGAGTATTTAAGATGCAAATTTTCTTGGGGAAGATATCTTTGTTGTATCTTGTGAAAAAATAACTGCCATACACAATGTCTGACAGGTCTCTGAGTTAACCCAGCCTTGTCTACTTTGTTAATTTCATAGGAAAGATTAATTAATTATTTCTGTGTATTAGTTACTAGTTATTGAACCTAGGGGCATTCTACCACTGAGCTTTCACCCCCAGTCCTTTCATATTTTTATTTTAATACAAATATTAAATATTTATTTTAATACAAATATTTCAGGGTCTTTCCTGAAACTTGGAATGCTCTTATCTCAGCCTCCTGAGTCACTGAGATTACAAGTGTGTACCACCCACCATGCTTGGCTTAATTCTTAATTCTGAAGACCAACTCATTTTCATTAAACATTCAAAACAGGTAAGATATTTTTTAAGTTTAAAAATTTGGACTACATTTGATAAACTAATAACTGGGAGAAAAGTTCCCAAGCCAAATTTTACTCTACCTACCAAAATATTTTAACAGTTATCATTCAAAAAATTAATACAATAATAAAAGGTATTCTCCCATTTTAAAAAAAGAGCACAGAGGGAAATTGGTTAATCTGAGGAAAATAATCATCAATTTACTGAATGAACAAGAACATGAAGTGGAAGAGACAGGGCTGAAACTCTAAAAGAAAACTCAATCAAAGAGAGTCAACCTGAGAGCATGAGAGGACAGGTGTGAATCACCCTGCTGACTGATCCACAAAACTACCTGCCCTGCTTTCAAGAGCCTTGTTTAAGAGCCAATTTTATATTTAAATGTGAAAATTATAATTGTGATATAATGAAGGTGATAATAGAACTTACATTAGTTTACATATATTTTTTTAAGCATTCAACCTGTGATTCTTACCTGGGCCAACTTGTCACTACATTCATGTTTTGTAGTTACTGGATAACAAGACTGTGCTGGAGGGCAATGGAAACTTTCCGTTCGACCTTTTACAGAACATTCAGGTGTTCGACCTTCTGTTATTAACAAGGCCAAAGAGACCAAGAACTCCTCTGCATCATATTCAAAATATTCATCTAGAGTATCTGGAATCAAAAGAAAAAAGAAAATCTCTGCATCATGTTCAAAATATTCATCACATTAACATACTTTTTTTTTGGCAGTACTGGGGACTGAACCCAAGATCTTGCACACTCTAGGCAAGCCCTCCTCATTCAGCCAAACCCCCAGCCCTTAAGTATTCTTAAAAAGAACTCATCTATGTGCCTATAATAACAAATGTTACATTCCATATTCACTAAAAAAAAGTGAAAGGAAAATACAGAAAACTCTTGATTCACAAGTATACAGAATTATAAAGAGATGATGGATGATTCCAAATTCCAGGTGAACAGACTGGTTAAAATTATGGCATAAATAAAAAAAAATTACGGAAAAATTATTTTTATCTAAATTTCAACTAGACTAGTCAAGATTTAAGAATATATACATCATCTAATGGATAACTATGTGGTTTTAAACATCAGGTACAACTTTTTTAAAAATATATCATTAATAGCCAAAAGGTCAAAATGTCTTTTATGTCATATTTTTTAGGTAAGATGTTTTATTGCCATTATTAAGTATTAGAAAGAAAACACAAGTCCAATTGTGTCTCTCCCTTTCTCTCTCTCCCTTCCTTAACTGATTCCTTGTTCTCATAGCACTAAATCTGTGATATGGACATTCACAGTCACAGGGTTCTCGCTGCTTTGTTATATAATAATAACAGTTTCAAAGGGACAAATGCTATAATAAGCTAGAATCAGAAGGAGACTTATTTTGCAATACAAGGAATGTGATATTTTGGTTGTTACATAGTTCCAAATAATCCAACCTACCAATGTTTTCATTTAGTTTTAGTAATTAAAAAATTTCTCAAAGTGCTCTAAGTTTTTAACTTTAAAAATTATTAATTTGCTATACAAGTTGAATACTCATGAACAAATGTGCACACAATACTTCATTTAATTTATAATTTTGAAAATGTTGTTCTTATCTTTGCCAATTAAACAACAAATATTTCAAGTGTTCACTATACTATATTAGGTGATGGGGGACATAGAGATATAATGTACATAGTTCTTAATTTCAAAGACTTTATGATTTAGAGATGACTTAAAGAAAACAGTACACCATACAATGGGTAGAAAGAAAAGTACAACTTGGACAGAGAATTTATGTAAAGAAAGTAAGAGAAAGGAAGGACTGGATCCAGATTATGAACAATATTGCAGGAAGTAAACTTTATTGGCCCAAATTTAAGAACTTTCAGAAAATTCTCTCTAAAATAATCATGTGCAACATAAAATGACAGCCAACACTTGATAATAATTTATCATTGTCCAGTATTACCAGTGCTAAGTAGTTTCCATACATTGATTCATTTAGCTCCATCATTTAGCTTCATTTTAAAGATAACTGAAGCATAAAGAGACAAAGTAACTTGTCTAAGATAACTCAAATAGGAAGAAGCAAATTTGGAATCTGAACCCAGTTTGGTTCCAGTATCAGCCTCTTAACTAGCATACAGGCTGTCTTTCATTATAGCTATAAATTTTACTTTTATATACTTCAATGTATTTTTTGAAATATAAATGAAAATAAGATATACATTTCACATAATTGATTTTGGTATTCTTATTTAAAAATATAGAACTGTTTTCCAAAAATAGGACCTAATTTTTATAATACCGTGCCAATGGAAAGGTGGTGGTGGGGGGTCAGTGTTTCTCTGGGAATAAAATTAGGTCATAAATCAAGGGTCCTCTGAGATTCACTGAGTTAAATTATTGTGTCCTTCATAAATAGGGAGGCAAAAAGCACACAAAAGAAATCTATTCAACACCTCCCTGGTGGGTTTTCAAGGGTAGCTCAGGCTTGCCATGGGCTATATGGCATGTTAGCTCCCAGGACATTCTCTGGGCTCACCCTGTTCCCTCTCCCAGCATGTGGTATAATCCCAGAGAACTAAGAATTATAGCAGAAAAGTGGCTTCTAATCTAATGAATACTGAATGATGCCAAGAAGTAAGTTACTCCATGTGAGGATGGTCTACAGCCTAAGTAATGTCTCATATATGTGCTATTATTTTTTAAAAGCCTATAAATACTAACTGTATTACTAAAATATAAATTCATATAAAAGCATCATTGAATTAATACCAACTTTACATCATTATTTTATCACATACACTGAAAGTAAAACTTCAATAGTGTTAATGTTACTAAGCTTTTGCCTCATGTAATTGTTCACGTACATGACAAGTTTCAGGATAACTGCTGAGGAGTATCTTATCAGCTTGCTTATGGTTGCTAAGCACTCACACAACTCACAGTGACCTTAGCATCATTTAAGTCATGTAAATGAAGGCCTTTATCTGTACCTGTGAATTACTGGGCTGGAAACAACTCTTTATTTCAGTGGATAGAATGTAAACCGTTATCAAGGAAATTGGCTAAAACTGTAACTTATTCATGGACGCTAAAAGTTAGGGCATAAATATACCACAAGGGGAAAGTTTTGACATTAAAATCTCAGGAAACCTGAGTTCTAGCCTCAATTTATCCAGTTTATAAATACTCTCCAATTAAGAGATATAGCACACGGGTCCACACTGGTAGACAAAACAATTAAATACAAATTTACTGTGGTAACCACTAGTATAGAGGTTAGAAGTGTGGGCTGAGCCGGGCGTTGTGGTACACGCCTGTAATCCCAGGGACTCAGGAGGCTGAGTCAGGAGGATCCTGAGTTCAAAGCCAGCCTCAGCAAAATCAAGGCACTAAGCAACTCAGTGAGACCCTGTCTCTAAATAAAATACAAAAAAGGGCTGGAGATGTGGCTCAGTGGTTGAGAGCCCTTGAATTTAATCCCCAGTACCTGCCCACTCTCCCTCCCCCACAAAGAATAAAAACCATAGCTGTACAGGGGCATGAGGTGAAGGACAGTAGTTAAAGAAGACTTCCACAGTAGTAAACTGCTACATAAGGCAAGTCACCTCATGTTTTCCTCTGTAAAACAGAAGTAATATCTGCCTGCAAGAACTCTAACATCACACAGGTGCAAGCTTTACTGTCTAGAGTACACACTTTAGTTCACTGGATTAGACAAAAAGGAATGAAGGGAAAGGAGAGGAGATGGGAATAGGAAAGACAGTAGGATGAATCAGAAATAATTTCCTATGTTCATATATGAATACACAACCAGTGTAACTCCACACTATGTTCAACTATAAGAATGGGATCAAAATTATGAAGAGCTGCATCTCATGTGTGTATGTCAAATATACCTTACTGTCATGTATCTAAAAACAAAACAAAAAAAGAGGATACAATTTAATTTTCTTTAGTTATTATAACCTTGTTCCCCAACCTGACCCAATATAACTGATTTAAAGTGAGCTCTTGACCCAAGCTGGGCCAGAATCTCTTTCCCAGGACACTGGAATAAGGACTCAGAGATGTTAGTTGGTTCCTGCCTGCTACCTTGATCTGAGACAGAATACACTCAGTACCTATACAGGGTTACAGGCTGACATAGGCATGGAACAGTACCAGAAGAGAATGAAATAAGAGGAACAGTGAATGAGAGATAAGAGACCTAATGGCTACAGGAAGCCAGATAAAAAGTAGTTGTCTCATTTTCTGACAATGATCCAGTCCCTCAGGAGGACTGTTAATATTCCTATTAATATTATTCCTATTAATCAATTTCTTTAAACTTCTTGAGTGGGTTATTTGTAATTAAAAAAATTTAATAACTAAAATGTTTTATTATGAGATTACAGAAAATGTTTGTCAAAAAATAAAAAGTATTCTTTGATGTCTTTCTTAAGGGTTCTGTAGTTTTCATTGTATATGTCTTTCACTGATTCCAAGTATTTTATTTTATTTTTGATGCTATTGTAAATGGAGTAGTTTTCCTCGTTTCCTTTTCTGAGGATTTGTCACTTATATACAGAAATGCCTTTAGTTTATGGGTGTTGGTTTTATATCCTGCTACTATGCTGAATTCATTTACTAGTTCTAGGAATTTTCTGGTGGAACTTTTTGGATCTTCTAGGTATAGAATCATATTGTCAGCAAATAGTGCTAATTTGAGTTCTTCTTTTCCTATCCATATCCCTTTAATTTCTTTTCGTCTAACTGCTCTGGCCAGTGTTTTAAGAACTATGTTAAATAGAAGTGGTGAAAGAGGGCATCCTTGTCTTGTTCCAGTTTTTAGAGGGAATGTCTTCAATTTTTCTCTATTTAGAATGATGGTGGCCTGGGGCTCATAATAGATAACCTTTACGATGTTGAGATGTGTTCCAATTACCCCTAATTTTTTTAGTGTTTTGAATATGAAGGGGTGACCAATCAAAATCCCAATGGCATTTCTCATAGAAATAGAAAAAGCAGTCATGAAATTCATCTGGAAAGATAAGAGACCCAGAATAGCTATAGCAATCCTTGGCAAGAAGAGTGAAACAGGTGGCATCACTATATCAAACTTTAAACTATACTATAGAGCAATAACAACAAAAACAGCATGGTATTGGCACCAAAATAGAAATGTAAACCAATGGTACAGAATAGAGGACACAGAGACTAACCCACAAAATTACAATTATCTTATATTAGACAAAGGTGCCAAAAACATACATTGGAGAAAAGATAGCTTCTTCAACAAATGGTGCTGGGAAAACTAGAAATCCATTTGCAACAAAATGAAATTAAACCCCTATTGCTCCCCATGAACAAAACTCAACTCAAGTGGATCAAGGACCTAGGAATTAAACCAGAAACCCTGCGACTAGAATAGGAGAAAAAGTAGGCCCTAATCTCCATCATGTTGAATTAGGCCCCAACTTCCTTAATAAGGTTCCCATAGTGCAAAAATTAAAATCAAGAATCAATAAGTGGGATGGATTCAAGCTAAAAAGCTTCTTCTTGGCAAAAAAAAAAAAAAAAAAAAAAAAAAGTCTGTGAGGTGAATAGAGAACCTACATCTTGGGAGCAAATTTTTATCCCTCACACATCAGATAGAGCACTAATCTCTAAGG